AAAAGCTTTGGTTAGGCCAGGTTTTTAGCTCAGTGGCTTAAGCGCCTGCCTGGCAAGCATGAGGCCGTGAGTTTGATCCCTGGTTTAAAAAAAAAAAAGCTTTGGTTACTTTAGAGCTCTGGAAGTCTGCCTGGCGGCTGTGTGTTTTGCTGACACTTTTTAATGGATAATGTTAAAGCAGAAGGAACCATTGATTGTTGGGATTGTTCCCCCGCTAGTTCAGTTTTGTATCCGGTAAGCCACACCACATAGTGATAAGAGTCAAAGGTGTTCCCCCCACTGCTTGCTGCACGGGTAGGAGCAGTGCATTGAACTGCACCCCTTCGGGTGCAGTCAGAGAGGCCGCAATCAGCAAATGGACTGCAGTGTCTGCCCTTGGGGCCCATGGCATGGACCCTAGCATGCTGAGCATCAGCTTGGCTTAACCTTGTGTTTGTGTGTGTGTGTGTGTGTGTGTGTGTGTGTGTGTGTGTGTGTGTCCCGGACTAGCCTTTGCTCAGTGCTGGTGACAGCAGGCCACAGCACCCTGCATTTTGAAAGTACTCACCAAGGCTTATGCCCACAGGTTAATCATTTGCAGTTAACTGCAGAGAACTATTTCAGCATGTGCAGAATCATCTCTAGAATGACTACATCATTGATACTTTTTTCTTTCTTTCTTTCTTTTTTTCTTTCTTTCTTTCTTTCTTTCTTTCACTCAAAGAGAGGGTCTTGCTGTGTAGTTCAGACTGGCCTGGGACTGGCCCAAGCTGGCCTCAAGCTCCTGAGTGGAAGGGATCTCCTGCCTCAGCCTTGCAAGTAGCTGGGCCAGTAAGCACCACCATGACTTCGGAACACAGATGTCTCCTATGTCACGTGTGTTCCCTGTGGGCCATGTGGCTGTCTGTCTTCGTTATCTGCTTTCACATAGAGGATGTTACTAGACTCTGCCTAGATGTTTGTTCCTGGTGTGGTTACCACATAGTACAACCCATCAGGCTTTGGATTGACTTTAGAAAGCGACCTGTTATCCCACCAAATCTTGAAATTTTAATGGCTGCCGGGTGTTTACCCCATGGGGAATTAGGACTCCCCTTTAAAGCTGATTCTGCAGAAGAATGTTTTCCCAAGGTCTTGTCAGCTCTCGCATTTCTGGAGCTTGTCTGTCTTTTTATAATCTCCCTTCAACATCACCCTTCCATCAGCTTGCAGCTCAGACGGGGACAGCATTTCTTGCTCTTCACCTACTATTTTTCTAACTCCAACCATAGATTCCCCTTTGAGCTTTGGAAGTGACAGCTTGCCAAGCAGGTTTTTACTTGAGCTTGGTGTGAGTGATCAGGACTCAGGACAAAGGCTGTTAGGAGCTCCCTGAGGGCCATAGGAAGCGCTTCGTGTGGTCACAGTGCAGAGCTGTCCTTTTCCTGTTCCAGTTGTCTCTCAGGGTCAGGGCTCCTAACGATAAGCAGGCTTTTAGCACCAGCCTCTGCAGCCTTCGTTTAATGCCCTCCGGTCAGCCAGTGGTCAAGAACTTTACAGTTGCTTTTCCTTGTTTCCAGCCTTTTATTGCTTCCTCACCGGTTTTTTCTTTTTTAAGTAGAAATAGTAACTGTTTCCCTAACAATACTTCTGAAGCCACCACTGATGTTTAAAACAACTCTGCCAATTGTGGTGTCACACAGCGTAATCCTCGCTAGCACTTGGGAGGCTGAGGCAGGGGAGCCCCAGGAATTTGAGGCTAGCCTTGACTACATAGTGAGTTCAAGGTTAGCCTGTATTACATAGCAAGACCTTGTCTCAGAAAGAAAGCCTTACAGGATAAAGGGTTCATAGTTTCTTTCTTTTTTTTTTTTTTTTTTTTTTTTTTTGTGGTACTGGGGGTTGAACTCATGACCTTGGGCTTGCCAGACAGGCACTTGCCACTGAGCTAAATCCCTGGCCCTGATTAATAGTTTCTTAATGTTAAAGTTAGATTTGTTTTTTTACCGTGACTCCAGAGGTTTCCCCTCCTGCACCTGATTCACACAGTGCCACCTCACAGCTTTACAAATGCTTTTATATACACTCAAAGGTGCATCTTACTTGAAAATTCCTTCCCCTTTTGCAGCTGATACAGAGAACCTGCACAGGTGCCCAGTCTGATTGGTTTTGGTGTGGCATAATGTGTGGAGCCAGCCCCACCACTCCCCAGACAGTACCTCCTCCAGAGTTTATGACTCGGCCCTCTTCTTTGCAGCCCCATCCAGTCACAGATTGACTTTTTGCCACTGAATTAGTTTGCATTCTTGTGGAATTTTTTTGTAAGTTAGATCATATATTATGCTCTGAGAAAGAGTCTAGCTTCTTTGACTCAGTGTAATTTTATGAATTTCATCTATGTTGTCTCTCGGTGGTTTGTTCATTCCTCTTTCCTGCTAGATGACATTCTATGGTGTGGATATGTAACAGGTTTCAAATCCATTCAGTTGTTAGGGATCTGTGTTATTTCTAGGTTTTGGCTATTAGAGTTTGACTAGGTTCGTTTTATCAAATTTCTTCTTTTGTAACTTAGGCTCTTGCTATCCTGTGTAACAGGTCATGTGTGGATATATGCTTTCATTTCTCAAGAGTAAATGTCTAGGAATAGAACGGATCAGTAATACAGCAGGTTTATGTTTATCTTAGTTGCTGAACCATTTTTATTTTTTAATTTTTAAATTTTTTGCTAAGCCATTTAAATTTATTTTTTTATTTTTTTGGTTCCAGGGATCAAACTCATGACCTCACACTTGCCAGGCAGGCGCTTACCCCACTGAGCTAGATCCCTGGCCCTGCAGGCCATTTTTAAAGCAGCTGTAATATTTACATTCGTACCCATGTTGTGTGAGTTCCAGTTCTTTCAGATACACTCTAACAATTGGCGTGATGTGTTATTTTTTAAATTTTAGCTGTTCTATTAGCTAGAAATAGAATTAGAAATTTTGTATATTGGCCTTTTATCCTGTAATTTTGCTTAGTTCACGTAACTAATTCTAATGACCTTTTCTGTAATGCTGTAGGATATCCCGCAGACATGTCCCTGATGGACAGAGACAGTGTCCCTTTTTTCTCACTGTTCTCCCTTGCCTTTTCTGTCTTCCCTGCAGAACTGAAACTGCCTCCTTCCTCCGCTTAGGGGAAACGTTGAGTCCTTCGCCACTAGTTATAAAGCCAGCTGTGAGTCTTTTGTCGGTGCCCTCTGTCACCAAGTGCTGTGACTTTATCTTTCACGAGGTGACCACTCTGCTGTGTGTCCCGTCTCATCTTCTCCGCTGGCATCTGTGCTGTGTTCCCACTGGTAATGGTGTAAGGTGTCACCAACTCACATGTTTGGAAGCAAGGCTGAGGTTCTTCCTGTGCCCGGCCTCCCACTTGCTTGGCGACCAGAGTTCCCGACTCATTGGGCGACCCCTGGGACTCTTCCTTCCTCCTCTTCCCACACCTCATGGTGCAGGGTGTTGGCAAGTCTTGTTCTCTGTTTTTTTTTTTTTCTCAGAAGAATGTAACTTTGAAATGTTCTCTGTTTTAATAAGAGCCCCAACCCCAGTAAGCCGCCTCCACCTTGCCTCTCCTGCTGCCTGCTGACCCCGTGCCTTTCTGTCCTTGCCTTGACAACCCATGCTCAGCATATGAGTGCCTTCGTTCTTTAAAACTACTTTCTGTCTGTGAAGATAATTTTTTAGACGTAATTTTATTAGCACATGAATGGATAGTTTAAGGCTCAGAAGCAGTAAGTTCTTTACTTTGTTTCAGAGAAGTGTTTCTGAATGTTTCTGAAAGATCAGCCTGCCCTACCTGGTGTTTGCTCAGTTTTTGGTGTCTTCCTTTCCCTTTTTCTGCTACCAGTGATTAGATGCAATCACCACTGTCAGTGCTGATTGCTGGCTTTTTCAGGCACCTGCTGGATTTCCCCTGGGTTTACATTATTTCAATGTTAAGACCTCACATTTGAATGGAGCTGTCTGCAACACCACACCCTTGCATCCCCGCTCCCTGGCTCAGTCACCCTGGAGCAGACTGAGATGGGATCTGGGGCCCAAAGCCCTGAGGTCGATCTGCTGCCCCTGGCCTGGGAGGAACAGGCATGGGTGTCTCTGCCAGCTTTGAGTGGCTGCTCTGGTGAGCACAAGCCTTAGGGGGCGCTGACTTTGGGCATTGTTTCTTCCATTTGTAGTGATCCTTCATGTTGTTGGCAGACCATACAGTAAATAGAGACTCTGAGGGTTCAGGACAAAGATGAAATCTTGTGAAAGTTAAATGGGAAATTCAAAGTTAGATGATGAATTTGGTGGCCACTTTTATAGGGTATATGTGAGAAAGACACTGGAGAATCTTCAGATAATTGGTTTAATTTTGTAATTATTTAATAGTAACAGTCAGCAAGGACTGTATCTGTCTAACAGCATTTTGGGACAGAAGATGGGAGATACGGTTTATGTACAACAAGATCTGCACTGCCTGGAGTGTGGTGCACATCTATAATTACAGCACTTGGGAGGCTGAAACGGGAGGATTGTTGCGAGATTGAGGCCAGTCGGGGCTGCATAGTGAGTTCAAGACCATTCTAAACTACATAGCAAGACCCTACCTCAAAGAAAAAAAAAAAAAATCTGTGCTTTGAAGTTGTGTATCTTCTGAGTTTGGGCAAAATATACAATAGTGTAACAATTGCCACATTCAAGGTAGAATATTTCTGTCACCCAGATGGTTCCCTTGTCCTCATAGAAGCTTAATCTTAGTGTTTTGTTTTTTTTTTTAAATGTGTTACATGTCCTTGGATATCATCTTTAAATACTCAGAGAATAAAACGTGGAATGACTTTGAAGGTTATTTGAGCGATAGGGCATTCTGTCATAGTTGTGATCGTGCTTATCCAACCGTACTACTCCAGTGTGAAATTGTTCAAATACCAGGAGAATGATCATTTCTGCTTAACTCCAATAAAAAGGTGCTTTAAAACAACATGACATCATGTTGAAGTACTTTATTTTTGAATGTTACAGAAGAAAATTCCACAAGACAGAGTGAGGATTTGGGAAGCCAGTTTACAGAAATTTTCATTAAGCAGCAAGAAAATGTCACTCTGCTGTTGTCTTTATTGGAGGTAAATACAGAAACTTTTGTCGCTTAATGAGCTTTTTTTGGATGCCTTTTAGGGTGTTATTGGAGAAGCAGCATGTATGTGGTATGATCCAAAAACACGGAGAATATTTAAATTTCTAAACCTTTAGTACAGTAAGAAGCACATCATAATTAGCCCTCTCCAGAATACTCTCCCTTGCTTCAAGCTCACTGACTACCTCAGTCTTGCTGCTGTCCAACTTGGTTCCAAGGTCGTCCGTCTTCTGGGTCTTCATTGGTGCTGTTGTGGCTGCCTTTGGGATGACCTGAATCAATTAGCAGTGCTGACTTTCGTGGTCATTTTGCATTTGGGAAAGAGCCAGAGATAGCATGGCGCCTGATCTGGTGAATAAGGGAATGAGCACACCATTATGTCTGATGAGTGTCCTTCCAGGGGATCAATCGTGTCCATAGCAGCATTCCCCACAGTTTCTCACAAGTGAGGACACAGAAAAAAGGGCGCCAGGGCCACTTCCGACAGTGGCAAGAGCGATGAGATAGATAAGTGTTTAACACAAGAGAGGCACTTGAAGATAGGCTAATGGCAACTCGTCTTTTACTACAATGAAATTTTTATTTAAAAATTCAGTGTATTTCACTCATCCTTTGAATACACCTATAAAAGTAGTGAAATTTGTGGTATCATACTTCTGCATACATACATTAGGCCCATATACATGTTTCAAGAAATAGAAACTGCTAAACTACTATCTATATCTTATCTCTGTTTTGCAAAATGCTGTTACATCCCATCACTAATATTTTAGTTTAATTTTATTATTTTTGCTGCTTTTTATTTCTAAAATTAGTTTTTAAAAGTTTGTTGTTTCTAGTTCCTGATACCACTTAGTTGAAAGAATGTTTTTCTTCAAAATGTGCATTATAAATATTAAATATTTTCAATTCTTATATTGTAGGAGTTTGATTTCCATGTTCGCTGGCCCAGTGTGAAGCTTCTGACTTCTCTCTTAAAACAACTAGGTCCTCAGGTGCAACAAATTATTTTAGTTAGTCCCATGGGTAAGTGATTTAGCTTCTTTTTATAATTTTGGTTTAAAAATAAGAGCCATTTCCTAGACAAAGTGACCAAAGCTGTGCTCTAATAAACTGTCACTTGCATCAGTATATTTTGTGGCCCACCGGTATTTTTCTCATGCTTGTCTCCTCTAGGTGTTTCAAGACTGATGGACTTACTAGCAGACTCCAGGGAAGTCATACGTAATGACGTAAGTTACGTGGGGAGCTCCAAGGATGTGCAGCCTTTTTCTCGTTTGTAGATAGAATCAGTGTTGACTCATTAGAAGTTAGATATGGACAGCTGGGCCATGCTCAGACGTTTAGGTTACATCTACAAGGCCACACTGTTCTTTGGTTTTCTGCCCATCCAGTATTTGAGCTAGAGAAGCCATTTTGCTATTGAAAGCTTTTACTCCTAGTCAGGTAGATGATGCATGCCTGCAGTCCCATTGCTTTGGGAGGCTGGGGCAGGAAGACCACAAGTAGAGGCTAGCCTGGCGCGTGAGTGATTTAGCAAGACTGTCTTGACACATGCAGACGGGCCAGAGAGATGGCCCAGTGAGAAGGCCCTGGCCTCGGTCCTTGGCATGTTAGAAACAAACCCTGCTTCCACGGTTGAGGCTTCCTGAGCACTCCTCTAAAAGGCTGTGTCCTCACAGAGCCGTGTTTGCACAATTCCCTTTCCTTTCTCGTGAGTAGGAGAAACCTTCCTGGACTCCAAACATCTCTGTGGCTTTGCCAAGCAGTGCCACAAAGTATTTCCAAGAATTTCCTTTGGTAAGCTAAGAGCTTGATTTGCTCTAAGAGTCATGTTTCATTCTTAATTATTTTAATATTTGCATATAGGTTTGAATATTTTTTATTATTACTTTCTTGGATGCTGGGGGCCTAACCCACATCCTTGTAGGGAGGCAGGTGCCCCACCACTGAGCTAAGCCCCTGGCCCGAAGTTTTGAGTATTTCATGTTTATGTGGTATACCATACTGTGTTGGTTAACCTGATTCTTCTGTTGCTACCTACAGCTTGGGCTGGGAGTGTGGCTCAGTCCAGTCTAGCATGCTGGGAACCCAGGGTTCAGTCCCTAGCACCACAGAAAAACCAAAACTGTATTTGTTAGATGGAGATAGCATGTGGAAAAAACCTTCCTAAACTCTGGAGCTAGAGCAGCAATGGCTAACTTCTAGAGCTCTCAGTGGTACAAACAGCCTGTGTGGCACACGTGTCATAGGTGTGGCACCACTGAGTTAAAGGGTCCTGTGTAGTCAGTTCAGTCTCCCTGTGTACAGGGAGAAGCCCCAGGCTGCAGAACTTGGTGGCTGGTGCTTGGCAGTTGATCTCATTCATGTGCTTAGATGAGCCCCTCTCTGCAGTTCTAATGGAAGTCATTTCACTGCCTTTAGCGTTTAACTGCTTAGTGCCAAAACAAAAACAAAAGTATTACCTTCCGCTTCATGTAGAGAATTTCTTTTTTTTTTTAACTTTATTTTGAAAGTGTGCAACAGAACAAGACAGAATAAAGCCAATTAAGATCGTACAGTGAAATTGGTACAGAACTTCACAGCAGGTTACCAGGATAACAGTAATAGGTATCACAGTATATTTTGTTATCTTTATAATAGTTGTTCTTTCAATCACGTATATCAAATTGAGATGAAATATAGAACACTATAGAACTTATCAAAACAGAATATTGAATAGAGCAGTACCATTAATCAGAAAAGAGCAAAACAGTAATAAAAATATTTGCCTTCAAAGAGATGGTAGAAGGAAATCCCCCTTATTTGCTATGGTCAACCTCCCAGGAGATGCTCAGATTTCTGGTTCCCATTTGCAAATGGTGGGGGGGGGGGTAGGGGAAGTGGGATATTTGACTCTAGGCCATGCATCAGTAGGTTCACTATTGCTTAGTAGGGAGGCAGGCTGGTTGTTTGGTTTCACAGCGCCCTAAGTTCCAACATGATGTGGATCTCAGGAGCTGCTGCTGGTTCTCCCCCTGGAGGGGCCGCAGTCTACCAGACCACCACCACTTACCGGGGAGGGGAGGTGCTTGCTTGGCTTCCCAGAGCCCTAGGTTCCAACATGGCGCGGATCTCAGAAGCTGCTGCTGGTTCTCCCCCTGGAAGGGCTGCAGTCTGCCTCACTTACCCGAGAACTTCTTAAATGATAGATCTAGCATGCAATATTGTAGATGCTAAAGTTATATAGTAAATACAGCACATGAGAAACACTTTTTTTGGTGGTGGTGATACTAGGAATTTAGCCCAGGGCCTTCATGCTGAGCTACACCCCCAGCCCATTTTTATATTTTACTTTGAGTCATTGTCTCACTAATTCACTCAGACTTGTGATCCTCCTGCCTCAGCCTCTCAGAGTGCTGGGGTTATAGACATGCGCCACCACATGTAGCTATTTTTTATTCTTTAATATTACAAGAATTGCCTTTGTGGGAGGTATTGGTTTAGGGGCTCATTGTGTAATTGAGGTTGGCCTTGAACTTGCTTGTAGCCCAGGCCAGCCTGGAATTTGCAGTCTTTCTGCATTAGCCTCCTGAGTGCTGGGATTATAGGCATGCACTACCATACCTGGCCAGAATTGTCTTACTGTGAGCATCCATCTATCAAGACTTTTGAGTACCTTGCCTTGATTAATACCATTATCATTTATTTTACTTTTCAAGTATAGAATTGATGCCTTTGTGCTGGGAACCAAACTCAGGGTCTAATCTATGAGGCAAGCATTCTGCCACTGTGCTGCCCCTCTGATCCCACCCGTATATTATGTCTGTGATTACGTTATCTACATTTTCCTTTAACTCTCTTTTTGTTCTGAATCTTTTTTCCCTCGGTTTTTGAGACAGATAAAATGATTGTCTATGTATGTTGGTGCTCATTATTTTTATGAGTAGGAATTTTGTTGTAATATCTAGATGTTTGTTTTACATGTCTTACAGTCATATTTTCTGTGGTTTCAGTGAATTTTTCAAGAGGATGGGGAAAAGAAACTAATATATATGTAGAATCCAGAATACAGGAGGTTCTGTGGAATTCAGTCTCCCTCTAGGTCTTTGTTTAAGAACATGACAAAGTGCTGTTGTGCCTGTTTTGCGCACACGTGCACTGAGAGGCAGTGTTTCTGCTGTTTGCACTTACACAGCTGTGAACTGTGCGGGGAGGCTTCAGAGCCACTTTGCCAGTCTCTGAGCTGCCCTCTGCTGTCTCCTCTCACCAGTGTCACAGTTGAGCTAGGTGGTGGTGTGTCGGGCGACACTGCCTCTGCCCCAGCCCCGGGGGTGCAGACTTGACAGGCAAGCGGGAGCAGTGCAGCTCAGGGCTCAGCTGAGGGCTCAGCATCCTGAGGGCACCCCTTCCTTCGATGCAACCCCCGGCTACAAGCTGGCTGTAGGGACCTTTAAACCGACGGCTCACTGTTGTTCCTCAGAAGTGTTGTCTGTGCTTATTCCATAAGATCCTTGCTGGCTCTTTAACCATCATGGATACTTAGGGCTCATCAGTACTTTTGTTTTTACTAAAATAGGAGAAGTGGTTAATAAGCAGAAAAATGACTTTTCTAGAATGACAAAGAAGTAGCAAAGTAAACCAAACCCAGTTTAGCCAAAACCCAGAAAACTGTTTTCTGGTAGAGGCAAATAGGCCTGGGAACTGTTGCACACTGGTCATCATGTCTAGCAGGTGTGAGTTTTCATCTTTCGTTTGTCTTTTGCCTTGGAATCAAATTTTGGAAATGAGGGCCAAATGTTTATGAGGACTCTGACTTCGCTGTTGGAACATGGCTACACTCTGCATGTCGAGCGGTGGGTCCAGGGCGTCCTGCAGAGGGTTTCATCCAGCTCCACTCAGTGGGCACAGCGAGTGCCATTTGGTGATAGAGGACTGTGAGGAAATTGCTGTTACATCCAGTGGTGAAGGATAACAGAATTGGGAATTGTGGATGTGGTATCCAGGCAAGGCACTGTGCCGTGGAGGTTTATAACCTTGAAGAAGCCAATTACTCCTATATCCTGTTTTCCTATCCGTACAGGAGTGGAGCTTAGGAAATTCTAAACTTCTGTGGGTTTTGTATTAATTTTAAGATGTCTTGTAAATGTCATACCCCACTGGACATGTTTTTCTTCTCTCCTAGGGCGTCTTACTACTACAGGCACTGACAAGAAGCAACGGTGCAATTCAGAAAATAGTTGCCTTTGAGAATGCTTTTGAGAGACTGCTGGACATTATCACTGAGGAGGGGAGCAGCGACGGAGGTAGAGTGCGAGGAGACTGCTTGTACGCTCAGCACCATTGGCCCGGGTACACGTGGAGGGTGAAGCAGGTGCAGGCTTTCTCTCTGTGGTGGAAGGACTGATATCCTCTTCCTTTCCCTCTGATGTCCGTTAGGCATCTGGAGGTAGAGGTAGGCTGGCGTCTCTCTTCACTTCTGGAAGACGCTAGCTCTGCTGCCCAGTACTGCTGTGCTATGTTCTGCCTGCCTGTAGCAGGGGAGAAGGCCCGGTCATGTTCTGGATTGGCGGTAGAGGCTGAGTTGACACAGAGTCACGTGGTGAGTGTGACAGGAAAAGGCCGGACATTCCCTCTGGAGAGCAGCAGTCATGAGTTCCTGCCTGTCTGAAGAGAACTCTGGTGAGGAGAAGTCTGGAGAGCGTCCTTCAGGATGCACAGCAGTGCTGCTGCTTGGCTAGGGTGACTGTGGGGCACCACGCCCCAGCCACCTTGGTGCAAAGGTAGCAGAAGATGGCAGCATTTCACAGGGCCCAGGCTTTTCCAGGAAGGTTTTGTGAATCAAGGAACTTGGCAGATTGTCTGTAGTCTGGGCACAATGTAGATCCATATAATCTAAGCTAGGCAGGCAAGAAAGTAAGAAAGGAATTTTTTAAAAGAGAAAAAGGCATTTGATGGATGGGTTGAAAGTCTCAGGAAAGCCTCTGAACAAATTAGAGGAGGTGCTTTAGCCAGAAAGATAGGAGGTTTGGTAAAAGGTTGAGAATTATCACTGCCTCAAGTTCAGGGAGACCACAGGACTAGGAGGTCCAGATGTCATCTGAGCTGTAGTTGACATTAAAATCACTGAAAGTGATAGCAGAGCTCTGAAAAGGAGACTTTGAGCAAGATGACGGTGGTATTTTTAGTGACAGAAGGGTGGCAACTGCAGATTCAGTCTGCAATGCTAAGAGAAGGCCTGGCCAGGTGGCCCTACCTCCAGGAAGTAAGAGCTTGTTAGGAACCAATAGAGGAAGGCACATGGCTGCAAGACCAGCACTGAGGCACAGGCAGCTGGATGTGAGCTGCCTAGACCTGAGATGCTTGCGGGATGAGACAGGGCGTGTGCGCAGGTCATCTTCACCCATGTTTGAGGTTTTCAGGCAGCACCCTGGAAGATTTTGAAACGAGATTAAATGGAGGAGACCAAACAGAGTGAAAACGGGAGAGCACACATGGCCGGAGGGTGGACGTTTGGGGAGGTGATCACGGGAAATGGGGTTTACAGCAGTGTGGAATTAACTGGAACAGAGAGTGATGGCTCTCACTAGGTAAGTGCGGGACCTTCAGGGCTTCAGAAGTTGCTCCAGGCACCCAGGAGCAAGGCTGCCGGAGCGGGGCTGTAATGCAAAGGCCTTGCGTGGGAGGCCGAGACTGGCCCTGTCCCAGGCTCCGAGAAAGCAGGAGAATGTGCATGTTAAACAGGAAGCTATATTAGTTAAAAGGGTACGCTTTATGTACTTATTTTGAATTAGGGCCCAAACTCTTTCTGCGTAGGTGGATCTGCTGCTTCCAGTTCTCATCCTCACTGGTCTCTGCATCCCGCCTCTGTCCTGTGGGATTTGCATTTCTGGCTCTTTGAAATGGCAGGCAGGCTCTCAGTCTTCTTACAGTTCTTCACTGTCTGTCAGATTTATATTATCCTACTTCACTAGACACCTGTGTTTAGTGCTTTGCTTCCTTGTGTTTTGTCAAAGACTTATATTTAGTTTTCATAAAAATAACCTGTTTTTACATTTACACATTGCCAGTTTGCATACTATTTCATTAATAAGCAGTGAATTAGCATAGTGAATTTGTAAATAAAAACAACTGACTTAGATGTGATGCCAAGGAGTGATCCTTAGAAGATCCATTTTTGAATGTTTAGATTAAAACTCAGAGTTCATTAAAATTAAAAACTTGCTCTGCCAAAGACATTGTTAAGAGAGTGAAGACAGACTGCAGACTGGGAGAGAGTATTTGCAAAAACATATGTCTGAAAAAGGACTTTAAATTAAATATACCAAGAACGCTTTTTTTTTTTAACCAAGAACTCTTAAAAGCCAATTAAAAGTGAGCAAAAAATCTGAACAGATCTTCACCAAAGTAGATACACAGAAGGCAAATGCATATACAAATAAATCCTCAAGAATGGTATGTCTTAGGGAGCTCATTAAAACAGTAAGACCTCACCACAGAGCTCTTCTAACATTAAAAAGATTTCAGTGGCCACCACCGAGCGCTGTGAAGTCCCATGTGAGCAGAAGCTCAGACGTGGCCAGCAGGATATGAGATGGTAGCAACCCACTTTGGAAGTCAGCATGATGGTTTCTCACAAAGCTAAACATGGAGTAGCTGTTTGATCCAAGAGTCATGCTCCTTGATATTTACCCAAATTAGTTTGAAACTTACATGTACACAAGAGCCTGCACCTGAGTGTTTTCCATAATTGCCAAAACCAGGATACAACCAGGGTGTCCTTTAGCATGTGAGTGGATAAACAGACTGCAGTAATCCATACAATGGGATAGTCACAATAAAAAGAAGAGTTAGAAGCCACAAAAGGATATAGAGGAAACTTAAATGCATGTTACTGAGGAATTCCAACTACATAACATTCTGAGAAAGGCAAAATGACAGACACAGTAGGATTGTTAATTACCAGGGACTCGGGGAGGGGAAGGAGGTATGAATACGTGAACCACAGGACATTTTAAGGCGGAGAAACTATAGTGTATGAAACTATAGTGGTAGACTGTTGTTTGTTAAAACCCATAGAACTTTACAGAACCGCAGAGAGTTCACAGGGCAAGCTGAATGCAAACTACGGACTTGAGGCATAGGGTTGACATTTGTTGACCAGTTGGAACAAATGTCCTACACTAAATGTACCACACTACCAGTGCAAACTGTTAATAAAAGGTGAAGGTAGGAGGGGGAGAATATGTAGACACTAAAAAAATCTGGTTGTGGTAGACAGATGTGCCATCCAGGGGGAGCCCAGGGGGAGTGTGTGTGTGGGGGGCTGGCTTCGCAGTTCAGTTTGCTTTGTGAAGGACAGGGAGGTCCCTGTGCTCGGAAGTGCCCCTGTGAGGATGGCCCTGTGGGTGAAACCGTCCCAGAATCAGGAGTGCTGTCAGTAGAGAAGTGGAAAAGGGTTCAGCCATGCAGGACAGGAACTGTGAAAAGTAGCCTGAGGGGTAGCCTATCCAGGTGGTAAGGGTCATGTTTCAGCAGACTGAGAGAAGGCGACCTCAAGAGACAGAGATAAACAGCCAGTGTGTCTTAGAGAAGCTGGAGCAAGACAGGAAAGATCCATTTAGTGAGTGATAACAGTTAGCTAGTGTGCGGATGCCCAGCGCTCTTTGTTTCTGTCTGTGCCAACAAGATAGAGGAAGTGGGTGTCCACATCACCCTGTGCTCATGAACTACCATCTGTGCAGCTGCATACTACCTGATAGTGAAGAGAACCACTCCAGGACAGGCACAGCGTGGGAGCTGACCTACCCTTGGATGATGATAATTGCTGCTGAAAGATGGCCTTTAATCTTGATTTCAGTGAAAAGTAGGAGAGTTGTGATTGAGAAATCACAAGATCGAGAAAGAGCAGGCAGGTTTCAGCCTTCATGCTTGTGAATCTGTTTGAACTGGCATTTGCCTGAATCCCCTGAAAGATGCAAGGTGTGGAAATACAGTACAGTTTTCTTCCAGTATTGGGGATTGAATTTTCCCTCAGCTGTTTTCAGACTTCAGTGCATTTTACATTGTCTCCCCAGGCATAGTTGTCGAAGATTGTTTGATTTTGCTTCAAAACTTGTTAAAAAACAACAATTCAAATCAAAATTTTTTTAAAGAAGGCTCATATATTCAACGCATGAAACCTTGGTTTGAAGTTGGAGATGAGAATTCTGGCTGGTCTGCACAGAAAGTGACAAATCTTCATCTGATGCTTCAGGTAAGTGGTGCGCTCTCCTTAGACACAAACATAGCAAGAGTTTTATGAGGGGATTCTTCCAAAGAAGAGCAAATCAATTGCATTTGACAAGTCCTAGATACTTGGTGTCTGGCAGGCTTTGCTGCACCTCACCTGATAAGAGATTTACAGTTGCATTCAGAAGAGTGGGAGCCCCTGCTCTCCGCCCAGCTTTGGTATTAATTTCTCACAATTTTGTTTTTTTACCCTCTTATATTATTATTTTATTTATTTATTTTGTCTTTTTTGAGACAGGATCTTTCTGTGCAGTTCAGGCTGGCCTTGAGCTCACTTTTATAGCCCAGGTTGGTCTCAAACTTGCAATGATCCTCTTGCCTCAGCCTCCCAAGTGCTGGGCTTACAGGTGTGCACCACCATAGCAAATCCAGATTTGCAGTTTCCTAATGGATTTTGCATTTGAGAATAAGTTCAAGTTTGTTTAATGGAGTGTAGCTCATACAGAAAAATACAATAGTCCAGTTACATGATGAGTTGGTGCTTTGTTTTTTTTACTTTGAAAAAGTGAAAATCTGGGCCAGGTGTGGAGGTGACCACCAAGAGCCCCAGCCTGCATTAAGGAGGCTAAGTCTAGGCCCACATCGGCAACACTGTAAGACCTGGTTTCAGAAAAGTGTGCATCCTAATGGCCTTAGTTACTTTAGCGAGGCTGAGACACAATGCCCAACACCCACAGCTTAAAAGGAGGAACGGGTTATTTTGGCTCATAGTTTGTAGAGACTGGATCCAAGGGAGGGTGGCACAGCCTAGGGGCATGGTGAGAGAGCAACAGGTGGTGGCGTGGCCTAGGGGTACGGTGTGGGAGCACAGCTGGTAGCACGGCAGTGGGAAGCAGTGAGATCAAGAGAGCAGGAAGGGTACACACACGCACACCATTCAGCCATGTTGGTAGTGACCCACCTCTTCCCACCGGGCTCCTCTGCCCAGCATCATAGGCAGCAATGCACCCATCTGTGTGTGCTGTGTCACCAGTGGTTACTCCTGAGTGGGGATGCAAACCTGAGTAGGGCAGTTGGTGCATGGGAGCAAACAGAGTGAGGTGGCGCGTGCAGGTCCTGCATGGTTGCCATGGCAGCATGAAGGTGCTTGCACCTAGGTCTGGTAGAGCGACCAAGGGATGCTCCCTACAGATCTCCTGTTCATCTGGACCAGATTTGTTTCTGCCCTTTCGGAATCTCTAAAAGGTAAATTGTGCTCTCTCTCTTTCTCAGCTTGTGCGGGTGCTAGTGTCTCCCACCAACCCCCCCGGGGCCACCAGCAGCTGCCAGAAGGCCATGTTCCAGTGTGGCTTGCTGCAGCAGCTGTGCACCATCCTGATGGCCACCGGCGTTCCTGCAGACATCCTGACCGAGGTGAGGACTGGCGGCCGTAAACAGCACTTTGTGTGTTGGGGTATGTGCTTATCTGCCTGAATGGGACAGTGACACAGTCGCTTCCAAGAGGTGTCCTCCTGTGGGCTTTAGAGTGCAGAGGCAGGCTCAGGGCCTGGCTAGCAGATCCGTCCAGGAAGCGTTCCTGTGGGCTCTGTTGTGTGTATGTCATGGGTGTGCTCGGTATGACTTAGGGTTTAGGAGTTAGGGGAGAAGTTTATTTACATTTTTGGTCTCAAATTAACAAATGCGCATTAAACGTGAAAACAATAATAAAAGATTTGTAACTGGAACAGCTATCCCCGGCCTCACTGCTATCTGTGAGGACGGTCACTGTCCGCCCTCCTGTCACTGAGTTGCTTGCTGGGACTCTAACCACGCCCTGATGACATGGCCCCTGTGAAGCCCAGTCTGTGTCTGTGTCAGTGCAGGCTTGCTTCTCTCGCTCTGTGTTACACCTGTGCTTTGCTTTGTGCCAGCCATTCATGTGTCTGTGGATGTAGGGTCTCCTCCACTACGTCCCTGCTTGCCTGTGGAAACCCCGCCCTACCTGAGATCCGTCCCTCTCTGTTTCCTTTCCCTCTCTTGGTGTGGCTCTGTGGTCAACTGGATCTCACGTCCCTGCCACCCCCTTCTTTGTGTTCCTGGGGTATTTTCTGACTTCTAATCCTTTTGTAAATATCACCTTTTCTCTTCAGAAGATTCTGATATGTTTATTTCTCGTTTTCTAAAATTTATTGATGGTATACATTACTGTGGACCTTTTCCCCCTTCCCCAATTGTTTTTGTCACTCATGGTCCTAGAGACTGTCTTTAGTTCTAGGGTCGTGTCCCCACCCTCCACCCCCATACTGGGGATTAAACTTGTGGTGACCTTGTGCTTGCCAGGCAGAAGCTATGCCACTGAGCTCCATCCCCAGCTTGTTCTAGTGTTCTTGATAACTTTTTCTTTTTTCTGATCTCCTTCCACAACTCTAGTAATAGATTGTTAAACTTCCTGGACCTAGTATGGTTTTTTAAATTTTTAATTTATTTTTAGTTGACAGAAGTACATACCATATGCAGCATGTATGATTTTTTTTTTGATTTGCTGTTTTCTTTTTGAGACTGGGTCTCACTATGTAGTTCAGACTGACCTTGAAATCACTTTATAGCCTAGGCTGGCCTCACCGCAGGCTCTCAGGTGCTGGGTTACAGGTGTGTACCGCCACACCTGGCAACAGCATGTTGTTTTGAAATATATTTCTTCTATTTTCATGAAGGTTTTTTTCTACCTTTATCCTTGTATTCAACTTTTGTTATGTGTATTATTAATATATTAATATTATTTTGGGTTTTTGTTGTTTTTTTTGTTCGGTTTGGTTTGGTTTTTGAGATAATCTTACTATATATTCCAAGTCAGCCTGGATCTCCCTCTGTAACCCAAGTTAACCTAAAACTTTCGGTGATCCTCCTGCTTCATCCTCCTAAATGCTGGGATTATAAGCGTGTACTACCACATCCGACCGTTTCTTTTTTTTTTTTCATTTTTTGTGTTACCAGGAATTGGACTCAAGGCTTCATGCTTGCCAGGCAGGTACTCTGCCCCTGAGTGACATCCCTGACCCCTGTTTGTTACATTTTAAATGTGGTCTCTGATTTTAAAACGTTTTTTCTCATTCTGTAGAAATAGACTCTCAGCTCTTAGAGGATGTTGTTGTTAGCTCTTTTAGTTTTTAAATATGTGGCCCTCTTGCATGCTAAGCAGAGACTCTTCCATTGAGCTACACCCCAACTCTTAAAACTTTATCTTGAAACTATTACAAGATCATAGTGCTATACCTGTTTTTGGAATTATCTGAATTTTAATACTTAAAAACAAAGCAGTGTAACATTTTCCTTTGAAAACAGGCTTTCTTTCTTGCCTTATTTTCTCTAAATAAATGTTCTTTTCTTCCCCCCATTAATTAACAGACCATAAACACTGTCTCAGAAGTCATTCGTGGCTGCCAAGTCAACCAGGACTACTTTGCCTCTGTGAACGCACCTTCGAACCCCCCAAGGTAGGGAAGGGAGCCCAGTGCTCCTCTCAGTGAGAGCACTTAGTTTGGGTTGTGTGTACGTGCACAGCTTGCTCTGATTTCAGTTATGTGTTTGAAGCTGGGAATTAACTGACAAGATGAAGGCACCAGTATTTGCAGGGTTTGTTCTTAGGGGTTAAACATGGGTGCAGAGGGAGGTCCTTGACCTGCTGGTTGTCTGGTCAGGGCTATTGGCCTGCAGAGTCATAACTGTTTGAGTCCATGGGCCAAGGTACTTCATTCTCCTCATCCTCTCTCACTGCATCAGGCCGGCCATCGTGGTGCTGCTGATGTCCATGGTCAATGAAAGACAGCCGTTCGTTCTGCGCTGTGCTGTTCTCTATTGTTTCCAGTGCTTCTTATACAAAAACCAGAAGGGACAGGGAGAAATTGTGTCAACACTTCTGCCTTCCACTATTGATGGTAAACCATTTATTTCTGAGGCCTGTTTTTAAAAGTACATACTTATCTTTCAAGCTTTTGATTGAATCTTTGTCTCTGTGCTCAAAATTTTATACTTTATATACTCATTTTAAAAATCTTAGTTCCTTGGCGTAAAGATAAATTTGGAGGACAGGTTTTGGAGTGAGACCAGAATTTCATTGTGGAATTTTTTTTTTCTTGCTTTATCAAGCGATGAGCAGATAATGCTGCTCATCTGTGTGAGAGGATAACATGTCACTAGACAACTGTGAGGATTACACAGTTACATATTTAAGCCCTTACCCTAGTACCGGGCACTGGATAGATGCACACCACAGACAGGAGCTGCAGTTGTAGCAATCACCATGCTAAAGACAAACCCTGGTGTGAAATCACACGTGATAGCTTAGTCTGTTAATCTCTTATAGGTGAGAGCCACTGTCCTTTCTATGGGTTCTTTAAAGTATTTCAGTTTCAGTCTTTATGTATAAGAATTATCTGAGGTGACTTTTTTAATATATACCTTTGTTAACTTTAAGCTTTAAGGGTGACTTGGAATTGGTAGTGGGAAGCATAAGTAGAATTCATTTTAATTATATAAATTATTACCATAAAGATTATTTACTATAAATGAAAGTGAGACCCTGGATGTAGAATTTCTTTCTTTCTTTTTTTTTTTTAAAGAAAAGGAAACAAAAAAATACATGGAGATAAAAAAAGGGTAGAAATAATACAAAATTACAGAAAAACAAATGGTAAGAAATCGCTGGTTGGTAAGTTACATATTGTCATCTTAGAAATAGCTGTTCAGGTTACAACATTAAAGTATGTAGAATGACATTCAAAAAGTGACACTACAAACAGTTCTGCTCAATGATCGAACAAAAACTCAATAATATGGTTATCAGTCCTACACACTTGTTTTACATCTCAAAGAGGGTAAGATTAAACATATCAAAACAGAACAAAACAGTTAAAAAACCAATATAAAGAAATACAGATTTCAAAACAAGTCCACTGGAGATCTTCACTGTCTATCTAACTGTCTCTAGTTTCTTACAAATAGTTGTCCCCATCTTCACCCACTTTATATACTTATTGCATATTACAGAACTAATCAGATCATTAGAGGATGATGAAGGCTTTTTAGGTCTTCAAGATCCAACATTGGGGAAGACAATAATAACTACCATCGCATCTCTCCTTCTCTTCGTGGTAGCCATCCCCATCTCTACATATGCTGAAATTGAACTCAAGAGACCAGACCAATGTCATTCTAATCAGCGAACAATAGTATTGCTAGAATTTATATCATAATGCTACAAAATTAGCATTGGGTTTCTTAGCATCTCTTCTTCAGAGTATCTGTTCACTACATCTTGCATTATATAATCTGTTCCCGTAAATAATTTTTTTTAAAAAAAACTCATGTGTGAATTTCTACATATATATCTATCCTCTCTGTATTATAGGGAAAACCAAGTCGTAACAAGACAGCAAAACAAATTGCTAGAAAAACATGCAATGGATAAGACATATAAGACCACAATATAGGTGATCTTCTGCAATTACTATGTTTTCTCTTGTTATTTTCAATAGATTTGTCCACAATACCGGCTTAATATAGTTAAACACAGTATTACGTATTTTTATAAAAACACAACTTTGAAAGCATTGTAGGATTTGAGAGCTGTTAATAGTTAATACCAGTATGGATATCCTTTACATCTTGTCATCTTCAGAGTAGTCGCCTCTACTTTTAGGGTTGATACTAACAAGCATACCAAATTCAAATAAAATCAGCCAAGGCCAACCAATGGTCTTATGATTCAGATTCAGTTAAGATCAGTCATAGTAAGACAATGTAAATAATACAGGATTTCAGTTTAAGTTAATAGGAAAGTAAGGATAGTTGCCATGGTATAACCTGCTATTTTTGGGTCAGATGTCTGTGTGTTCAAATCTGACATGAGTGGACAGATCAGAACAAATTAAACTCAAACTAAATATGGCGATAACACTACTGTGTCTTTTAAATCCTGATACACTATTAACAATGACCTCTGCCTTTTTTTATAGTGTTTCAGAGCTGTCTATACTAAAGACTATAGCTTACCGTCTCTGCCTCATGTCCGCTACTCCACTTTTCTGCCATAATTTGTCCCCCTTATTCCCGCATTCCACTGTCTGCCTCGTTCATTGAGGCCTCTCTCCCACTGTTGCTGGAATCCTAGTATCCTTTCCTCTCTTTCTCTGGAATGTCCTTCAGCACTCTCTGTAGGTTGGATTGGTGGCCACGAATTCCCGCAGTTCCTCCTTGTCTTGGAAGCATCTTATTTCTCATCTTATTAATTTTGAGAGAGAGTTTTGATGGGTATATGAGCCTTGGTTGCATATTATTTTCTTTCAGGACTTGGAATATTTCTCCCCATTCCCTTCTTGACTTAAGAGTTTGTGTTGATAAGTCTGTTGTTATTTTGATAATTTTCCCGTTGTAGGTAATCTGCTTCTTTTCTCTGGCTGCTTTTAATATTCTGTTCTTTTGGTGAATTTCTGGAATCTTGATTATTATATGTCTAGGCGTAGATCTGTTTTGGTTGTAGGTAGTTGGTGTTCTGTATGCCTCTTTTATCTGGATATCATTTCTTTTTGATATAGATGGGAAATTTTGCTCTAATATATCTGTGAATATTCTTTGTATTTCATTTTTGGTTGCTTCTGCTTCCTCACTCACATTCTTTATTCTTAAGTTATGTATCTGTTTGTCTTCTTCTAGCCTTTGAATTGTTTCTTTCTGGTTCCTTGTTATTTTTAAGAGGCTTTTTCTTTCAAGATCATATGCCATAAATCTCTCTTCAAGTTTCAGAAGGCTGTCTTTAGTTTCTGTCAGGATATTTTGCCAGTGTTCAATGGAGTTTTTAGTTTCCTGGTAATCTCTTTGGATCTGTTTCATGTATTCTAAGTTATGTTTAAATTCTTCTTCAGAAGTTTCTCTTTCTTTTCTGATTTCCTCAGTTCTTCCATCTGTGTTCTCTTGGGTGGGGCTTGTCATTTCTTTAATTAATCTCTTTATATCTTGCCTCACTTGGATCAGGAGTACAGCTATAAATTCATCTATGAGGTCATTTTTAATTTCGGCTGATGCTGTGTCCAGTATTGGATGGTTACTGTGCTTGTTCTCTTCAGTGTTTACTTCTCCTGGGCTTATTTTCTCATGTTGGGCAGCTGGAGATTTTTTAAAATTTTTATCTCTTGCCATGTTTCTGGATTCTTTCAGACTGGAGTGTCCTGGGGGTCTCTGGCCCTCTCCATCCGTATTGCTTAGGGCCTTTCAGAAGCATGCTAATCTGAGTTTTTGTTGTCCTCCCCAATTTGCTGTTATCTGGGGTAGGCTGGGATGCAGGGGCGGTACAGGCTAGCCTCCAGCCTCTGTGCCAGTCAATCCGTAAATTAGGCTGTACTTTCTGGATGTCACTGAGTTGTGACAATTTTGTATCTGCTTATTGGGCCCCAAGCAGAGGCTTGGTTCAGCCCCAGGAGATCCTGCCAGTTCTCTCTGTGCCAGAAGCAGCTGACTAATGTTACCTTGGCACAGAGTTCTGCCCAAATCCCAGCTGTTCTTTTCCAGACCTCTCTGTGTCCTGGTGCTCCTCTCTGGAGCACCAGGATTGCGGGTCTGCCCAATTCCAAGATGTCTTCCACTAGTTCTCTGTATGACACTGAAGCCAACATGGCGTCAGACTCTGCCCAATTTCAAGATGTCCTCCACCAGACCTCTCTACAGGGGTGACTCGGTGATGTCACCGTGCCGCAGGTTCTGCCCAACTCTAAGATGTCTTCCACCAGACTCTCTGTGTTATTGATGTCCCCGTGGTGGTGGGCTCTGCCCAGTTCCAAGATGTTCTCTGGCCAATCCCAGCAGCTGTGGGACCCAGTCTCCAGTACTCACCAGGGCTTGGTGCAGGTCCTCCTCTTGAGTCTACTGCACACTTCGCAGCTCGCCCTCACTGTGCTCCCGGCACAGCGTGGAATGGTCAGAAAACTGCACAGGGTTCGGCTTTGGAGCTCCAGAGCCTTTCACAATCTCCTCTGGTGCAGCAGAGCAGTCCTGGCTGCTTCTCAGGGTCCCGGGTCTCAATTTCCAGCAGTCACCAAAAGCCAACACAGCTTTTCCTGTTGGGTCCACAGGTCAGTTTGCTGCATTAAAGGCGCGGGATTTGCAGCCTCCCATTATCAGCCTTCGCAGTCTCAGCATGACTTTAAATTCTCTAGCCGCGCTGTCTTGGTTAATAAGAATCATTATCCATTCGTCTGGCCCTCTCCATGTTGTCATATTCTAGCATCTAATATGATTTCTCTGGAGAGACTCTCCGCCCGATCCCCTAGCAAGCCACCATTTTAGGAGCCTCGTACCTGGATGTAGAATTTCTTTAGAATGTGTTTTAAGAATGTTTTCCACTGAGATAATATTTTTACTCTTACCAGCATCAGTTTGATACCTAAAGTGTTAAAATTTTCTACTTTATTTTTTTTTAATTTTATTTAAGGAGGAAAACAAAAAACAGAAAAAGGGTACAAATTATACAGAATTTCAGAAAAAATAAACAGTAGGAAATCACTAGTTAATAGATTACATATTGTCATCTTAGAAATAGTTGTTCAAGTTACAAAATTAAAGCATATAAGGTGGACATTCAAACAGTGAGACTGCAAACAATTCTGTTCAATGATCCAACAAAACTCAGTAATATGGTTATCTATCTTATACACTTAAATATACATGCAGTTATATCCTTTAGAGCACTTTCTTTTCCTCTCTTTTGTACAATGACAATTAGACATTTTGGGTTTTATTACTCCCACAATTCTTACTACTTCTTTTGAAAAGAATAAAACCAAATGTGATAAAACAGAGTCAGTCAAATCAAAAGGATGGACATAATACATAATGTAAAAACAAAATACAAGGTGATCAACAATGGTTACCATAATGCCTCTTGCTATCTTAAAAAGAATTGCCTGTATCATCAGTTATAATACAATTGAACAAAACAGTAAAGAACAAAATCAATAAAACCAAAACATTTGAGACATTACAGGACTTCAAAAGATAATAGTCAAACCAGAATAGGCGTCATAGTTTGTCTTCACAGTTGTTGCCTATACTCTTGAACTTGGTAGTATCAAGCAAAACAGATTAGAGGAAAATCAGTCAAACAAGATGGTGAGAGCAATACAGGGTATCAGATCAAGTTAGTAGGAAAGCAAGTGGGTTACTAATATAATCCTGCTATTTTTAATTTATTTTTCCTTAATTAAAAAGGTAAATATAAAAAAGTAAATAGTAAAAAAAGGAGATTGAGATAAAAGAGGACATAACAAAACAGCACAGGTCAAAACATAACCATTTAAGCAAAATAGGGTTTCACCACAAGATATCCCGATGTAAAAGTAGTTACCATAGTGTCTCTTTCCTTGAAATCTTTGAGTATAATTTCACATACTGTAGCATCAAACATATCAAGAGAATGTAAAACCATTCAAGAGAATGACAGTATTACAGGGTATTTAGAACCAACTAACAGAAAATAAACAATGGTTTCTGTATAATCTCCTTGTCTATAAAATTTTTTGTTTATATTACCACATATAATAAAATCCAATAAGATATAGCATGTTAAGACCAATGGGAGACAGAAGAACAACATTTTGATGGGACTTCAAAACACAGCACTAGCTATTATGATGTCTTGTTTTCTCCAAAATAGCTGTTCCTACCATCCAGCCTTCTCTGCCTCATTTCTGTTGAGCTCTTTTTCTGTCATTAGTTATCAGTTTGTCTTCTTCATTTTGCTTTCTGCTCCATTCATTGTGGCCTCTCTGCCACTGTTTCTGGAGTCCTGGAATTTTTCTTTTTTTAGAATGTCCTGCAGTAATCTCTGTAGTGTTGAATTGGTGGTTGCAAATTCCCCTAGTTCCTCTTTATCCTGGAAGCACCTTGTTTTTCCATCAATTTCTAGGGACAGTTGTACAGGATATATCAATCTTGGCTGGAGGTTATTATCTTTCAAAGCTTGAATTATTCCCCCCCCCCACACTTCGTGATTTGATGGTTTGTGCCGAGAAGTCTGCTGTAATTCTGATGGGTGTTCCCTTGTAAGTGATCCATTGCTTGTCTCTGACGGCTTTTAATAATCTGTTCTTATATTGAATTTCTGGAATTTTGATTATTATATGCCTGGGTGTAACTCTGTTTGGGTTGTAGGTGGCTGGGTAGGTGGCTGGGGTCCTGTATGCCTCATACATCTGAGTATCTTTACCTTTTCTTAAATTAGGGAAATTCTCCTGGATTATTTCTGTGAATAGCCTTTGTAGTTCATTTGTTTGTGTCCCTACTTCTTCCTCTACGTTCTTAATTCTTAAGTTATAGATCCTCTTATCATCTTCTAGCCTTTGTATTGTTGCTGTTTGTTTTTTTGTTATTTTTAAGAAGTGTTTAATTTCATGCTCCCACATTACAAATCTGTCCTCCAGTTCAGATAATCTATGTTTAGTTTCTTTCAACCTGTTATGCCAGCTTTCTATAGAGTTTTTAGTTTCCTGGTAATCTCTTTGAACCTGCTTCATGTATTCTATGTTTTCTCTATTTTCTCCATCAAACAATTCTCCCCTTTTTTTCTGTTCTTCCATTCCACCATCTGTTTTTTCTTTGGCGGTACTTAGCATTTCTCTATCTATTCTACTTACATCTTGCTTTACTTTGTTAAGTACTTCACTTTTGAACTCGTCTATGAGGCTCTGGAGATATCACTTTATGTCTATTGGTGCCGTGTCTGATATTGCATGTTTTCTGTCCTCATTCTCCTTTGCATTAACCTTTCCTGGATCAGTGTTTTCAGGATTGGATCCTATTGGATCTTAATCCGTGGTGTCACCCGGGCCAAGCACTCCCCACAATCCCGCTTGTAAGGGGAATATGCGACTAAAGTCACTGCAGCGTCCTATTCCAGGTAATCTGCTTGGTCCCAGAATTTCCTCTGTTGGAGCCTCCTGGTCTATGGAAGGGTCCCCATTCCTCTCACTCACCGCAGGTTGATGCAGGGCTCCCTGCCAGTCCCGCTCTCAACTCTGTTTGCCGATTCCCACTCTCAGAGCTTTCGTGTTCTGTCCCTGCAATGCTGATTCAGACGCAGCAGCGGTGGCAGGAAATTCAAATCACAGTTTCCAGAGGTGTAGGTTTTAGCTTCTGCGCTGAGATTTTATCTGTTCTGGTTATAGCACCGGGATTACATTTCGAGTTGGTTTCTCTCAGCTTAGTTCGTTCCTGGGTCGGCAGGGTATATCTCCCCTTGCTTAGGACTCCTCACACCGCACCATTCCTGGATTCTAAGCTGGCTATCTCAGAGAGCCTCCATAGCTGCTGTTATCTATCCACCATGTTCTCCTGGAAGTCCCAGTTTTTTTCTACTTTAATTCTAAGACAGCTCTCTCATCACTTTGTTTTATAAAGCAGATTTTTGTTTTGAAAATGTCACTTAATACTAACAAATGTTATATAGTATTTAGTAATGTATTATTTGTGTGTAGAAAACAAACTGAGGTTTTTTTGTGTTCAGTCTTTGATGATTTCCATAGTCAGACCTAATGTATTGTTCTATGTTGTCATCTGACTGTCGTCTTTGCAGCAACAGGGAGCTCTGTCTCAGCAGGGCAGTTGTTGTGTGGAGGCTTGTTTTCTACTGATTCACTCTCGAACTGGTGTGCTGCGGTGGCCCTTGCCCATGCTCTGCAAGAAAACGCTACTCAGAAAGAACAGTTGCTCAGGGTTCAGCTTGCGACAAGTATCGGCAACCCACCCGTCTCCCTGCTGCAGCAGTGCACCAACATCTTGGCTCAGGTGAGGAGGCGCCCGGCTCCTGTGGGGCAGTGCTGCCGCTGGGGTGCCAGTGTCGGGCCAACAGGAGAGAAAGCACTTCTCTTTGTAGCATTTAATTGTAACTAGCAACCTTTTCTATGGGGTGAGAGCAATAAATATTTTTATAGCAGTAGTTTTTACAGATAGCTACAAGATCTGTATCATGATGAGAATACAACTTCTGGACAGAAAAGTATGTTTATCATTTGGATTTTACAAAATCATTCATAGTGCTCTTGCATGGCATTTTCATAACTCAGAACATTTATAAGAAAAGGAAAAATCAGTGCAGGTTATGTCTGCCTGCTTACCCTGTCTGTTCCCCAAGCAGGTGGCAGGGAAGAGAAGGAGACTGGAGCAGCAGGGCCTGCAGATGTGGCTACACAGCACAGATACAGGCGCATTATGTCTAAGTTCCCAGACTTCAGGTTCCTAGTGCGTTTAACCTGCCTGGTTAAGTGTCGAAAGGCATGACCAAACATCTTCATCTTGCTTTAGGCTTCCGTTGAAAACAACAAAGTCTCTGGGGGTGGATGCTGGGGCACTGGGAGTGTCACTCACTGTGTGACTTGCCTCACACACCAGCCTCCCTGCAGAATAGTTAAGGTATATGCTGTGCCAAAACTGGGAACCCACAGACATTCGCAGTCCCTCAGGAGATGAACGTGGGGTTCGTCTGACATAGCCATATCCATTGGGTCCAGCCCACTGCCCCATGATAATGTGCTATCTCCTTCTCGAGTGTGTAATTTTGCCATGTGTTGAATTTTCCCCCTATTTTAAACCTTTTTTTCTTTCTTTTTCTATGGTACCGGGGATTGAGCCCTCCATGCATTGCCAAGCATACACCCATGCCAAGCATACATGTGCCACTGAGCCTACACCCCTGGCCCTGGTCCTTATTTTGCGCTTTTAAACAATGAATGTCAGTGCCATCCATAGAAGTTGTAGATGAAAGCTTAAAAGTTAATTACATTGAACAGGGAGTTGAATGTTGCTTAAATCAGTTTACTTCAGCTGAAAACTTACATCTTAGTGATTAAAAAAGCGACACCTCATTTCTCATATCTTTACTTACCTAATACTCGGCATTCTCATGTTGGTCTGTTTAAAACATCTTTCTTAGAGCCAAACAGTAGTTAGCGATCTGAGCACCATCACCATGCACACAGATGCACCTTAATGTCAGAGTGACCGTGGACACACAGGCAGAGTCCTCGGGATGTGGGGTCCTCCCCATCCCCCGAGGTCTCAGTGCTGCAGAGTCACACATCTGTGTACAGTAAATTCTGAGAAGTGTCCCAGGTTACTGTCGGGTCTGTAGAGCGGGCCTGTGAGTGTTTAAGAGGTTTTCTGTGGCTGGGTGTTTCTGAGGTAGAGTGCTGCTGAGTAACTGTTGGTGTGTAATTTGCAGGGAGATAAAATCGACAGACGGGTATGTATTGCTTGGCTAGGCCTAGGCCTTTTCCTTTCACAGCAGGGCTTATTCTCTGTCTTGGGTTTTGCTGATTGATTTAACTGCTTGTGTGAAGTTGCATTCTACTCACATTTTCGTGTTTAAGTGAGTCTCTGTCCTGAGTGGCTGTCCTGTTTTCCCGGGGGATTCGCAGTGGTGGCTCTAAGCACTGGGGAATGAGAATTTGAACTTGCAGATCTGTGCTTCCTCCTGGGGTGCTTGTGTTCTCTGGGTTCCTTGGTTTGTTTTTTTTTGGGGGGGGGTTCCCCCAAGCTTGCTCCTTGATTTCCCTGAAACCGTTTTGAAGGAAGTAAATTTAGGGTGAAGAATTTGTCTGTAGTTAATAAGTGTAGCAAGGATGTGACTTTTCTTTGAAAGTATTATGAATGTCCATAGTAAGTATAATTTTTGTAACTTAAAGTTTTTAAATTAAATATTATGGACTATGCTTGATAAAATACATATGCTACAATTTCCATTGGGGGCTTGATTTTTGCTGTGTGGGGGAGAGAGTTACTTTTGTTTGGTTTGGTTTTTTGTTGTTGTTTTTTTTTTATTTAAAATGCATGTCTCTTCATTCCCATGTTATGTCGAGGCATTTTTCATTGTTCAGCGTGAGGTACCTGCAATCCTGTTAGGAGCTGTATCTTCACGTATGAGCACACATTTTGTCATCCAAGAAAACGTCCCATCCCCTTTGTTAGGAAGTCTTCGTCCCCAAAGGCCACCAAGTAGGAAAGGAATCTGACCATACTGTGCTGGAATCTCATTGTAGTGCTTTTAATGTCAGCTTTTTATATTTTTACTCATGGTACAAAATATTAAATTTGATGTGTACTTGTTAGGAACAAGAGGGATTTTATTTTAAAAATATAATGGGTAAGACAGTAGTTTATATTGAGATTAATTAGATGATTCAGACAGTAGTTTATATTGAGATTAATTAGATGATTCAGCCTCAAATATTTATTTGTAGTTTTCTTTCATCCTATAAAACCTGTGGTTTTTAATAAGTTAAATCCTCAGTGCTCTCAAATGATAATTTCAACCTCCCTCCTTTTTAAATTTTTTTTTCAAATGTCCTTCATGGTTCACACACCCCAGAGATGGAGAAGTATTTTCTCCTCTCTGGCTACTTTATAGTTACGAATTTTAACCTTTGTTTTTGATGAGTTACAGATAGTTTTTTTCCGGTATGTCATTTGCGACCTGAGTGTTCCCTCAGACTTCTCTCTAATGACTTCTACTTGACTGTCTAATTCAGATTTAGAAAGGCTTTCCTACTTTAAGATTTTAAGAAATGTACAATATTTTCATCCCATGATTTTCAAGTTTTTTTGTTGTTGTTTAATTCTTCCAATCTTTTCAACAAACCACGTAAGTAGGGATCCACTGACTATTTTTCTAGGTATCTGTCTGGTTAATCTAAGTTTTTATTGTTTTTTAGTTTTATTTATTTCTTTGTTTTTGAGACGGGGTCAGTCCTGGGACTCATGGCCATATGCAGTCCTACATCAGTCGCCCAAGTAGCTGAGACTGCAAGCATGTGCCATCGTGCCAGGCTTCCCCAGCAGTGGTTAAGTCCATCTGTGACACATGGATGTTTATGTGGCATCATTTATCTGTAATACTCTGATGTTCAAATGGTATCTTCTTCATATACTAAATTCCCATGTTGTAAATGGGTCCGTTTCTCCTGTCCATTTTTTCACAGTGTCTTTAATTATTTTCTGATTTTCTGTATTGAGAGTTATATTGTTTGGTTCTGGGAAAAAAAGAAAACTATTTTAGGGCTGAGCACGCTTACCACCAAGTTCCTGGGTTTAATGCCTAGCACCGAAAGAAAAAGCAACAGCAAAAACAAACAAAACTATTGGAATTTTTTGTGGATTCTTTTTGAATATACAAAATGATTCTCTATGTAGTATAGATGTATTTGGCAGCTACAGATGATTATTCTAAGAAGCCAGCTGTTTTTATATAACCGTAAGATCAGTAAAACAGTAGAATTTTTAACTTGAATATCTTAAGTTTTCTACAGCATAGTCAGGAATGCTATAGCTGGGTGTGGTGGTACACACCTGTAATCCCAGCATTGGGAGGCTGAGGCAGAGGAACCACATCAAGATTTGAGGCCAACCTGGGCTGCATAGTGAGTTCCAGGCCAGCCCAAACTGCACAGTGAGACCCTGTCTCAAAAAAAACAAAAAGCAAAACAAAATAAACGAAGAATGACTGTATATTTTTGCTTTTCAGTTTGCATAGTATGAAGACATATTATTAGCATAGTAATGACAGCAGAGGTGAGGAAAAGTAGAAATGAATGCAGCATGTAAAACCTAAACATATTAAAGTTTACATAGCAAATCATTTCAAGGGATCCAGTGGGAATTTATTCAACTCATTGTTAAATATGCCTGAAAGTAGACTCTGGGAAGAAGAAGCTATTGTCATCAAGGTTCATGAAGTTAGCCTGTCTGGTAGAAATCTTTAAAATGTGATGTTACGATAAATTTATTGCTTATTTAGACCTTTAAATAATAAACTGATGGATATGTCTTGAAAAGTTTCTCCAAGATGATACATTACTATGTTGATTTTCATTATACTGTATTATTTCAAACAAGGTTTGTTTTTTCTTAAAAAATAAACATGGACAGTGGCAATGTTGCGAATTAACATTGAAAACATTCATATAAGGGACATAAGTATGTTATATTAAAATTTAGAAAACCACAATTTTGTTAGACATGCTAACTTACAGAATTTTATATTATATTAGACAACAGGATAGTTAGTGTGATTCAAGGACCTTGGTAATTTAAATACTTTCCCCTTGATTATGTTTGTGATTTCTCATTATCTGATTTGTCACTGAGTTCATAGCATTGTTGTTTAATTTTCTTGTTTGAGAATATATTCTCCTGGAGTTTGATTGCATGGTTCAGGAGACTTTTTTGAATGAAGTTTTACATTTTTTTCTTTTATCAAGAATTTGCTTTAAACATTCGGACATGCAAGTTTCTGTAACATCTTAATAGGGTTAGATCTTTTGAAGTCTTCATATCATGATGTTTTCTAATTAAGCCTTCAGCCTTTTTCTACTAATAGTGTTTTAAATAATCCCATGCATGTTTACAAACATGAATCATTTCTCATTTCTGTACTGTTTGATTTTGGGAAGTGTGGCCTGGGGTGGATATGAGATTGTATTTTCTCGTACCATTTATTAAATCAGGCTTCCTGACACATCTCTTACATCATGTTGATAGTCTCTTCATGCAGATGTGAAGAGATCTTGGGCTACTTTAACTTTTAAAAAAAAATGAATGGAAGGAGATTTCTGCCATTTTCCTATTGCAGGGAAGCAAAATACAGACACGAGTTGGCTTGCTAATATTGCTGTGTACATGGTTGAGCAATTGTCCCATTGCGGTGACACATTTCCTGCACAATACAGCCAATGTGCCATTCGTATCCTTTGTGTTTTAGTAACACACGTGTGAACACTGTCTTACACCACTTCAGTTTCTTCTCCAGTCAGTGGTTCTAGCCCCAAAACGTTTGAATTGTCCACCGTCCTCTTGGTATGGCAGTTTTTATATTGTTATGGTTATCATGACACTCCCGTGAGTGCCGTGTGTGTGTGTGTGTGTGTGTGTGTGTGTGTGTGAGAGAGAGAGAGAGAGAGAGAGAGAGAGAGAGAGAGAGAGATGCATGATGTGTGATCCTGGAAGAGAGAGAGAGAGAGAGAGAGAGAGAGAGAGAGAGAGAGAGAGAGAGAGAGAGAGAGATATGCATGATGTGTGATCCTGGCTTGGAATACATACAGAATTTACTGTAGGAAATCTTACATGAAATATGTTACATTCAAATTGCAAAATGAAGTATTTCATGTGTTTTGAATCACTGGACTCCTTAACAAGGATTTCAGCTTACAGGACAGATTGCAGAAAATCTTGGGGAAGAAGAGCAGTTGGTGCAAGGCTTATGTGCCCTTCTATTGGGCATTTCAATATACTTCAACGATAACTCGCTTGAGACCTACCTGAAGTAAGTGAGGGCATGTTCTCTCTGCTAAAGTGTGGGAGGCCAAGCTGCTATGTGCTGTTAGGCTTTTGTGTTGTTTCTTAACCATCTCAATGTATTTGTCTTTAGAGAGAAACTAAAGCAACTAATAGAGAAGAGGATTGGCAAAGAGAATTTCATAGAGAAGCTAGGATTTATTAGCAAACATGAATTATACTCCAGGGCATCACAGAAACCCCAGCCAAACTTTCCCAGTCCAGAATACATGATATTTGATCATGAATTCACAAAGCTGGTGAAAGAACTTGAAGGTAAGGCAAGAAGGTACACACTGATACTCATTAAAATGTAACTGTGTGGGGCTGAGGATTTAGCTCAGCTGCATAAGCACCTGCCTTGCAAGTGCACGGTTGTGAGTTTTATTAGTACCGATTTAAAAAAAAAAAAAAGTAACTATGGTTCTGGGTACATGGAGATTCTCTCACAAGCAGAGTTACAGATTCCCCGCCCTATTCCCCCTCCATCTGGAGCCCTGTAAGATTGGAAAGAGGATTGTGACCTGTCATTGTGTTAGGCTAGCTGTTTTTGCTCATTAAGCGTTAATAATCAAGTAGAATTTAAAATGTTTCAGACGGGGCTGGGAGACAGCTCAGTGGCATAGTGTGGATCTCGCAGGCTCGAGGCTTTGGGTTCGATCCCCAGAACCACAGACACAAACAGACAGACACAAATTATAGATATGCTTTCTTTTACAGGCGTTATAACTAAGGCTATTTATAAGTCCAGTGAGGAAGATAAAAAAGAGGAAGAGGTAAAGAAAACTTTAGAACAGCATGACAATATCGTGACTCACTACAAAAATATGATTCGTGAGCAGGTGAGCACTGGTGAATTGTACTCTGACTGATCGGTCCTTTTCACTGGAAGGAGAAACTTCTCCTTGCACTTCAAATGGAAGAGGGTGCAGAAAGCTCTAAAGCTTCTGAATATTCAGCGATTGAGTATCTAGTGTGTGCTCAGTAGCATGCAGGATGTCGTGGGTAAGAGCGTGAGCCAGCCGTGTGCCTGTGTCAGTTCCAGGAGAGACAGCCCTGTAAATAAGTGATGGTAGCATGAGAATTGTGATTGGAAACATGCTGAAAGCGTAGTTTACGTTGCGTTGCAGTAAAAGACACTCTGCCATTAACCTTCCTCAAGATCATCCCCCTCACTTCAAATACAAGGGTCCTGTCACTCTTGCCTAGTTTGGAAGTGGTCCTGAAAGTCCTCTTTTGTGTCTTTATCTTTGCTATTGTGGCTGCCTCGGTGGCCTGAATGGATTAGAAATATTTCCCTGTCATGGTCATTTTGACTGAGGAAGAGCCACAGCTGCATGGTATCAGCCCCAGTAAGTAAGGTACATGAAATGCATTGTCGTGTCGTCGTGAGCCTGCCTTTCTTTTGGATGCTGTTCAGCAGCCGCAGACACTGTGTTTTTTGGGGGTTTTTTTTAAGTATTTTTCCTTTTTATTGGTACCAGGGATCAAACTCACAACTGCCTGCTTACAAGGCAGGCGCTTATGCCGCTGAGCTAAATCCCCAGCCCCAACCCTGTAGTTTTGATCAAACCTTTTAAAGATACTAAAGAGGACAGTGGTGGGGATGATGGGATAAGTGGCTTTGAAGCAAGGGGCAGGATCTCCAGGGGGATGAGCGGGAGTGTGGCTCTTCCTGTAATTTTTTTTAGACTTGAGCATTCCATGTATATTTTGGTCACCCTACACATGTTGTGGCAGAGTGGGCCTAGTGACAATGATGACCAGAAGTACGGCAGCACCGAGAGGAAGGTGCCTGGTTAGTGAGGCAGGGCCAGGGCGTTGCGGAGAACAGAAACAGTTCTGAAAGGATGGATGGGCATAAACCATGAAGAAGAGCACTGAGCATGAGAGGAAGTGACACACAGCACGAGTCCAGCGGTGCTGGTGCTGGCAGGTACGTGGGCACCCTCCTGCCGGAGTAAGGGAGGGACTTGGGCTGGGGGAGCCGGAGCAGGGAACCCAGGGGGAAAGCATTGTGGCAGGGAAGGGGAGGGGATTTGGTGATGGTGACAAGGGTGGTGATAATGGCTCCCCACTTTACTGTCTTCTGAAGTTTAGGTAGCACATTTTAATCTCTTGTTTTGTGTAATTTTCACTGCACCCTTATGATTAGTTAGTCCCTTCAGTTTAAGGTAAATGGGGAACGTAAGGCTTGGAGAATTTAAGCTTGCCCAGGTTTCTTGGAAATTGGGACTGATTTCCTATCTGTGTGTGTTAGGGAGACTGAAAGATCACACAAGATGGTGTGCAGGGCTCGTACTTGAGCGATATGGAAGCTAAAGATGCTAAAACTTGGAGAACTTGCTCATGTTTGAATGTGGGTGTAAAGGTGCAGAAAAGGGTAGGTCTGACCCCTACATTTTTGTCGTGGGTGACTGAATAGATAATGTTCAGTTAGATGGTGCAAGAGAAGACCTGATTTATTAGGAGGGGTAAGATTTATGAGGAGGAGAAGACCTGATTTATACCTGATGCCATCTTGAGCCCTCCATATAACTAGTGCCCTGTATGTGACTCAGGAGGATGGAAAATTACTCGGGGTACAATCCCACGAGAAAAGCAGAATGAGCTGTACCCACAAGAGAAAAATTAACCTGCTCAATACAAGAAGCAGGATAGAGGTGTCAACCAAAAATTAATGTAAGATTGTAGCTAAACTGTTTCTAACAGACTGTCTTTTTTGGTTCTGTTTTAAAAGCTCTATAACTTGCCAGGTCAGGACCACTTGTTTGAACTCTGAAACAGAGGGGTCGGTATACAGAGTGGTCCTGAGCTCAGCTAATTAAATTTCAAATTTATCAGTTTGGCTGCTTGGATTCCTAGATTGTTGTTCATAAATCCACCTCAAGGAGGGGTAGTAAGTCAAGTTGAAACCACATGCCCGGAATCAGCAGCGGACACTTTCTTTTCAGGGCACCATGAACTTCCCTTACTTGCAATCTGCTGAGCCCCTTAAACCTCCATTGCATTCCTCTACCTTGTGTTTCTTGGGTTTTGTTGTCATTTAATTTTTGTCTTTTTTCTGGTGTCGAGGGTTGACCTCTGCACTCAGGGCCTTCCCAGTGCACTGTTTTCCCCAGAGCCCTTCTTTTTGTTTTTATGTTTTAAATTTTGAGATAGAGCCTCGTTCAGTCACTAAGTTGCCCTGGTTGGGCTCAAGTTCCCGATGCTCCTGTCTTGGCTTCCCAGAGCGCTGGGATTTCAGGTGTGCACCACCACACCTGGCTAACTCTTATGGTGTATATCCTAATTCAGGCTCTAGAAAATATTATAGTGTTAGCTGGAAAATGAGATTACTGATGTCATTAAAAGCCCCACATCATAAAAATATATAGGTGGCAAATGCCCACTAGGTGGAGCAGGTGCACCTCTTTGAGTTATTTCCTTCCCTACAATCCATTATCGAGATTAAAATTTGAAGGACTGGAAGCCTCATATAACAGCATTTCAAGTTATAAGCAAATTAATAAGCTTAGAATCATCTTTGAGTCACCAGAATTTGAATTATCCAACCATCCATGTTTGTTGGTCTGTGTCTTGATACAAATACAGTGTCTTTTTCAGTTGATAAATGTGGTATATTTAATGTGAGATGTAGCTTACGCTGGGATAATAAGTACAGTTGATTTGGAAGGAGAGAAGAGTGATTTGCCATAATTACCATAAGGACTTACCTTTAAAAACGTTGAATTTATATATTCTTACCACCTAAAATGCTACTTGGCATTAGGCAACAAGCATTTAGAGCTGTAAAACATTCGTATGTTTTGAATGACATTTGAAAACTCATTCTAAGAAAATTCTCCAAAGTTCAGGAAAACATATGGAGTGAGATATTTATTGCAATGATACGTATCATTTTAAAAAATAGAAAGCAACTTCAAGGTTAAACACATTTAACATAGTTTACATTGAGCTACTTGATCAGATATAAGTGAGCATTAAAAGTCATGATCATAAGAACCACTGCTTGAAAGTATGGAAAACTTAACGCAGTAAGTAAATTAAATGTGAACAAAATTATATATGGACTGATTATGACAAGTTTAAAAAACATGGGTTGGAAAAAATTAGAAGGAAATAAAGACATGAAATTTCATTGTATCACAGTGGTGAAAATTGGAAGCATTTTCTCCAACCTTTTAAATGTTCTGTAATTGTCGCTGTTACTCTTTGATTGGTCTGTTACTGTTGAAAATAATACTTATTCATACATCATTTCTGAAGTAGCTGGGTATAAATTTTTAACTGGCTGATGGTTGTAAAGTGGAGGCTTTCTCTGATACCCCATGGCTGCAGTGAGGCCATAGGCTGTGTGCCCTGGTCTTGACTAATGGGCCCCTTCCTGCTAGTGATAGCGCATAGTTCAGGTCAGCCGGCTTTGGTGCATGTATTAATATATTCCTGCCGAGGTATTGCATGAGTTTGGGAGTACTGAGGACTTTTACACACTGACCCCAATGACCTACCTCCACATTTCTAATTTTAATCTACTTAGTGCCAATTACTGTGAATTTAAAGTACCTGAATGAAGTTTTGTTTCACAGGATCTACAGCTAGAGGAGCTAAAGCACCAGGTTTCTACATTAAAATGTCAAAATGAACAGTTGCAGACAGCAGTCACACAGCAAGCTTCTCAGATTCAGCAGCAGAAGGATCAGTACAATCTTCTGAAAGTCCAGCGGGGTAAGTTTCACTAGTCACTGGTGACAGGTGCCCAGTCGTACTCTGGGGACAAGTCAAACAGGTTGTTTCTGTGGACTAACTGTAACAAACATATAAATCAAAGTTTAAAGCAAAACATTTTGTATGTACATGAATCAGTTCTTGCAGTGAATTAGTACAGCACAGAGTACTAATAAAAATTTAAAAAAATGGTTTGGTAGTTAAGAGAAAAAAATTTTTTTTTTTTGTCTTTTTATCGGTACCGGGGATTGAACTCACGACTACCTGCTTACAAGGCAGGCACTTACGCCACTGAGCTAAATCCTCAGCCCCTAGTTAAGAGAAATTAAGGCTGATCTTTAAATTTGAATCCAAGCACCTTGTTTCCTGTTTGATTATCTGATTATCTGACCCACTGATTGTTGGCCCTGACTCAGAGCCCACCTGAGCTTCTGATTTAATTGGTCTGGGGCTGGTGTAGGCATTGGTAATTGGTAATGCTCCCCTGGTGATTATGACATGTGGCCAGTTGGCAGTGGTCTGATCTTTCCTCATCTGCAGATGGAGCTGATGTCATCTGTGTCATCTGAGAATTAGATGAAGTCATGCGTATAAATTGTAGTTCTTCTCTGGCAAATAGCAATCACGTGTTTGTAAAGAGCGGCATCCTGTAAAGCTAGTGATGATTGGAGTATTGGTTCCTTGGAAGTACAACATTTTATTTATACGAGGGGGACAGGATTCTCTTTTCCTTACTTTAGCCAGTAATCTATCTGCTACTTCAGCACAGACTGCTCCTTTGTCAAAAGAATGTTACTTTCCCCTTACAGTCACTGAAAGAACTGAAATTGAAGCTATCATAGTTAATTGTGGAGGGCCAGGCACCCAGTTTAGCTAAGACCATGCTGACTTCCTCTCAGAAACACTGCCGTCTGCCTCGGTTCACTTTCTCTTTTTTTTTTTTTTTTTGTCTTTTTCCTTTTTATCGGTACCGGGGATCGAACTCACAACTGCCTGCTTTCAAGGCAGGCGCTTACGCCGCTGAGCTAAACCCTCAGCCCTAAGCATTGCGTTTTTTTCTTTTTTTTTTTTTTTTTGTCTTTTCTTGGTTCACTTTCTGTTGGGACAGTGTTCTGCAGAGATGAAGCGTGGCTACCACAGTGCTGCCAAGTAACCAAGCTAGGAGGGATCCATGTCAATCTTACGTTTAAATTTTCTAGCTCAAAATTAAAATCTTTGATGATGGCTTTCCCAATTGTATGTGTCTTTAACAGGAAAAGACAGTCAGCCTCAAGGCTTGCCCAGTGACGGGGCTCAGGTAAATGGGATTCAGCCAGAAGAAATGAGTCGATTGAGAGAAGAGATAGAAGAATTGAAAAGTAATCAGGAGCGTTTACAAAGCCAGCTGGCTGAGAAAGACTCTTTGATTGAAAATTTGGTAAGTAGATGAAGACTGATTCCCAGTCTTGCTTTCTTGTGTTTCTGTTTGATTGCTGTTCTGGGGGTGCTGATGATGGAGCCCAGGGCCCCATGTGTGCTGCACTGCATCCCAGCCCCGTTTGCTGTGCTGGGGCGTACAGGCCAGGGAAGCACAGGGGAGTCCTGGAGCTTGAGCTTTCGAGTTAGCCTGCCTGGCCTCCACTGTGTCTTCTCTGACTGAATTCAGACCCATAGCCGGCCCCTGAGACCTAGGTCCTGTGCTGGAGCCAGGTCATGTCTGGCTCATTGGCATGAGACATGGAAATGGCTCAGTAAATACCAGCTTTCTGCTTATGCTCTACAAATTTCTTGGGAGAAGTGTAAGTTAATTCTGGAGAAGCAGTAGGTAATACGTGCCATGTTGAAATCTTACCTTGCATATAAAAGTAAACTGTTGATGTCAGCACCCATAAAGTACAGTTTACATGTGTACAGTGTGCTCTGGTGATCTTTCCTTTCTTTGGAAACTGAACTTATTTTATGGTTGGTTTTGTGATATCTCCATCTCAAATGGGCTAAAACTTAACCCAGTTTAGGGGCATGTCATGAAGCCTCCTGAGTGCTATTTGTGGCTGCTGGAGCCAAGCTTCTGGTGTCTCTTGGCAAAGTTTTGCCGGAGCTGGCTGTATTTATTTATTTTATTGGTATCAGGGATCAACCTCACAACCATGCACTTGCAAGGCAGGTGCTTATGCCACTGAGTTAACTCCCCAGCCCCAGAGCTGGATTTAGAGTGTGATTGGCTCTCTCCCTTTCCAGGAGATTGAGGTCAGAGTGGACTGGGGGTGGTACTTTATTCCTGAAGGCCTTGCCATGCTGAGTTATTTGGGAAGTAAAAGGAGGTCTGTTGTCACTCTGGAGAGACTGGGGTAGTCCATATCTGGGGACAATTTCCTTCAGAAGCACCTTGGCTAACCTGGTAGCCTTTTCTGAAGGGCAAGGCTAGGCTTCAGCCCAGCTTATAAAGGTGTCAGATAGGACCAGCATCTGTTTAAATCCTTCCGCGTGGTGGGCTGTGGGTAAAGTCTAGTTGGCAGTTCTCCCAGAGTGTGTGCCCCTCCCCTGGAAGATTCTAATGAAGGGGCAGTTTGGACTTGCCCGAGTTCCTGCAGGCATGGAGCCAGCAAGCTTTGCGGGTCTGTGGGGTGGCTGTGACCAATCTGAGTCTAGTGAAAAATGCAAGTGGCCATTTCCAGTGTAGCCTCTCTTCCTGTATAGAAGGAATCAGGAAGTGTTTTGTAACCTTCCGCTGTGTCCCCTGAGGAAGGACCAGTTTGTTTTCTAACATGAGAGTCCTTTTTCAATTTTCTCTTATCCTGAGGCCCGTTTATCTTTCTGGGGGGTGAAGACTGGCCTGATGACTCCACAGGAGCTGGAAATAAGGCTAGAGTGATAAGGGGCCGTAAGGCCGCCCTCTTTGCTTCCCTGCAGCCTTTTGATTTCCTAAGGAGACTTCAGAGGTATCTGTCTGGTGCCCTTAGCAGTGCAGTGCGTGGCTGAGACCTAGGGAGCATGGAGAGCTCCTGGGAGACACAGCGTTTCTGCCTGTGCTCTATAGATGATGGGCAGAGCTACTGCATTGGAGAACCACACCTCTGGGCTTGGGAGGGCTGTCGCTGATGTCCTGCCCACTCGGTCAATTGTTCACAAGAGTGGCTAACTCCTGGGCTGCAGGCATCAGAGAACCAGGGTTGATAGTAGTGCGGCTTTTTATGATGGCCTCAGAGGTGTCTAAGAGCGTGGCTAGATAGTAAGCCACAAGTTAACCACAGGTGACCTTTTGTCTCCAGAACAGCTGTAAGCTGCTAGGAGTTGGACTGTCCGCCTCTGTCTCTGCATGAGTTTTGAGGCTTCTACTGTAAGTGCAGCTGCAAAGAATCTCTAACTGGGGTTCCTTTGACCTTCCATAGCTGCAGATCCAGGTTTTCTAAAGAAGTGAGTCAGAGTAGAATGAGGCTGTTGAGTTGGCTCACCCTCAGTAGCCAGGGTCCTTGGAGGAGGTGGTGCTGTCTGCCGATGGGTGCTGCAGGCTTCCCTGGGCCTTTCAGTCTTCAGAGCAGGAGACAAGGCTCCTGCCTGCCTGGCCCCTCTCTGGGAGCAGGGACAGTCTGCCCCCAGTGCGTGAGTCAGGCCCTGTCGCTGCCCATGCGCAGACAGGCTCCAGGCTGGTACGGGGTGGAGCTGTGTGCCTCAGTTCGCAGTCTTTCACTTGAAACAGTGCTTCAATTGTCCTTGGGTTTTTCCTGGATGACCTACCTGATGGGCTTAAACCATTGCAGGTTGCAACAGCTGTAATCTTAGCCTTTCTCTTTTGTCCCTCCTCTGAGGCTCTGCTGCTAAACACCGAAAAGGCTATGTCCGGCACCTAGGCTAAAGGTTTCTGTGGGCCCATCTGAGATTTCTATAGCTTGTGCCAAACACCTGGGGCTGATTACAGGTGAAATGACGTGCGACTAGTGCTGCTGCCTCCTTGGAAGATAGACCTGTATTATTATATTCATAAAGACGCAGCCCTGCACCCTGAAACACTCACATTCCTGGTAAGAGCAGTTAGCTTGTCAGGCATCCTTCTTAGTCCCCCACTAGTGTTACAGTCCCAGCGTGGTTCTGTTGGGGAGAGAATAACCTTTCCTGGGAGATTTCCTGCCTCTTTTAAAGCACATTGTTCATTTGCATAGTCTTTTCCCTCCTGTGCATCTGTAAGTGAAAAATGGGACCTGATTTATTGACCTGGGGATTGTGAGGAGGTTGAGGAGACCACTCGGTCTCATCAAGCAGGTCAGGGAGACCTATATTCCCCAAGAGACTAGTAGGAGTCTCAGGACAGGCTCATCCAGAGTAGTTCACTCCTCCTTGGGGAACACTAAGCAGCACAGTTCCTGAGTGTTTCCTTTGATAGAGTACGGAAGCTGAGCACTGAGCACCTCGTACTGTGTTCTAAGCAGCAGTGCTGTAACCAGAGAGCAGGCTGGCAGCATAGAGTACCACTGTGTACCTATCTCCCACACCTGCTAGTCTGCACTAGACCCAAACTGTATTGCAATAGTAGATGAGCTGTGCCTGACTTGGATCACCAGTATCAGAACTATCCCCCTCATTGGGAATACGGCCCATTGGCGAAGCTGGTGAAATCCATGGGGTGGGGAGGTCCAAGAGGTTTCCTATTAGCTTGGCCTGAACCTGTAGAGAGGAGACAACTAGATCTTGATTTCGTAGGCGAGCATCCCATGCAGAAGGGAGAGACTGAGAGTTCCATCCACAGAATGTTCCTTGTGAGGCCTCACGCAGACTAGACGGACATCTCTGGCTGGGTGATCCTAGCATGTTTATGCACAGAAGGAAACCCCCTGGGGATTTTTTTTCCTCCCTATTGGACCCATTAATTCCTTAGGGAGGAGGGGGCCGAGCCACTTGTCGGTCTTACCTAGCCCTTTGACACCCACAAGATAGGAATGGATGAAACTTTTTCCCAAGCCAGTTCCCTTAGCCACTTAGTGTACCCCTGGATGGCCCAGCTAGCACTGTGAGTCCGTCGTGGACTGCTTGTGTTCTGAGCCTGCTGGTGACCAGCTGGTACTTAGAATCTCTTAATAACTCTACTTACCCAGAGTGGAGCCAGTTGGGAAACTTATCTCCTATGGTAAAAGTTAAGAATAGAGATAGCTCTGCTTTCATATACTCATCTCTTTAATTGAATTTTAAATACTGTTTACTTGTCCTGCTCAGGCTGTCATGCATAGATTTTAAATTATCTGCACTTGAATAAAAGAAATCCAGCCAGGAAGTGAAAGGCCTAGATTGGGGTTTAAACCGGGAGGAACCAGTCAGCCAAGGACAGCTCCCTTGTATCTCTCTGCCCTGCAGAAGCCTCAAGCATTTTCCTCTAAAGCTGACAAGTTGTCCTCCTCCATATGGGAAAGAACCCTAGTGCTGGTTAACATAATTCAAAAAGAAAGGAGCTTCCTTCCTATTGTTCCCCAGAATGGGCTTAGCCTGTTAAGAAAATGAACCAATGAAAGCAGTGGCAGTAGTTGACATAAACCCTCGTGTCGCAGCCTGACTCTGTGCAGTCTCTGAGCTTTTCATTGCCAGCCACGCCCGGGGTCCCCCTTATCCCTAGCATACCAAGTAAAACACAAACCAAGTAAAAAAGGCCTGTAAACTCTAGGGTCATAGGAGACCCGGTCAGTTTCCAGAAAGAAATGGCAAACAAGAGTGCAGATGACAAGGATCTCACAAGAAAGGAGGAAAAAAAGAAAAAGCAGAATCAGGGCCAGGGCTGGGGTGCAGCCTAGCGGCATGGCCCCTGCCTGGCATGTACGAGGTCCTGAGTTTAATTCCTGGTACCAAAAGAAAAAGGAACACAAAGTGACTGGAAGAAAAACAAAAGGTGTGCATTCTCCTACCCCAGCCCCAGGCAGAGAAGCAGCAAACAGCTCTCTGGGCATTGTGAGAAGAGTCTCTTAGTTCGAGCTCTCTGGCCTACTGGAGAGAGAAAAAGTCCTTTGTACATGTTAGAGAAAAGCAGGAAGTGCACACATTGGGTTTTTCTCCTGCCGGCAGGCTATGCCAAATAGTGTTACCAGGTTGCTCCTTGTAAAAGTGCCTCACCATTGAACGTTACTGAGCTTTATGGTACTCAGGTCTTCTGAAGTTGGTCTCTAGGTTCTTCTTGAGAGACCTGGATGAAATGAGTAAAAAAATAGCGGCAGTTTATTTGGAAAAGTAAAAGTGAAGAGTGAGAGAAATGGGCTCTGCAGAATGAACTTGGGCTGAGTAAAAGAGGAAAAAGCAAAATAACTGTGTATCTTGGGGTACAGAGTGGGCCATTCTGAGGAAAGCCACCCTAGCAGTGCCTCACATTCAGAGCCTAATGTCAGACCTCCATCCGCCCCACATCACCATTAGCAGAGGCTGTCGGGTTTGCAGGATGTCCGCAGTGTTTCCTTTGTACAGAGAAGATGGCACACCGTAGTGGCACCTCAGTGCAGACTGACTCTTCTCACCATCCAGTTGCAGACCAAATTGGAAGAGCACAGAATCAGATTTCCCGTGAAGTCAGTGTTGACCCTAACCATTTGCTGTGATTCTGTTCTGGTCCCGTTTGGTTTGTGAACAGAATTGGGGAATTAAGTTGGTGAACCGAGGCACCACCATACACTGGTTGTATTTACATCTTCCTGTAGACCTGTGTTACAGTCCGTGGGGAGTAAGTTATTAATGTGTAAACTTTGTCCACCTTACTGTTTGTGTTTCCCCATGAATCAGTGACATGGTATTTTTATAGAAGAAAGTTACCTTTTGGTTTTTCATTTTCCAATTTTCTTTTACAAATTTTGGACTGTTAAAAATACATGTTATTGTTTATATTGTAGTACACACTGGTTTTAATATACTGTATATAAGATACTATATAAGGAAAACCCCAAATCATTGCAGCCCCCAGTATCACTGTCCACAGAACTTATTTTGATGACTGAATAATAAAACAAAGAAAAGCCACATGTATGAGATAGAAATTTTAGAGAGAACAGAAGAATGGACTTTTGATCAGCTGCACCCATCTCTAGACACCACCGGAAGTGGGGAAGAGCAACCCAGGTCGGGACCCAGCCACTGCTGTGACCACTTTTCTTTCTCGTACCTGGGGTCCGGAAGAGAAGCATGGGCAGTCAGCATGGACAGAGCCTTTCCATCAGCGACTGTGCCCACCGCAGTCCACTGCTCCCTCCTGTTCAGTGGCCCTGAGTCTCCAGCCATCCTGCTGTCCTGCTTTGCCCTCCACCCTGTAGGTGACGTCTGCAGCCAGCAGAGGAGTGCCAGGGCCGGGTGAATAAGCTTGGGCAGGGAGCAGACGGCCTGGCCTGCGCTTTTGACCCCGTGTTTTCCTCCCCAGGGGCCACCCTTGGTACCAGTTCCTGGCCTGCGGTCCGTGTGGACTGGTTGTGAGCCAGGTCCAAGCTCAGCTTGCTTATTCTATGCCCTCACATCTGCCCTCCCACCTGTCTTCTTCCCCTCCTGCCTTAGGATTCCAGGAAGGGGCAGAGGTAAATCAGTGTGCTTAACTGTCCAAAACCTCAGATCCAAAGCTTAAGAATCATTCTTTAGTTAGCTTTTAAAAGTTTAAAGTTACTTAAGAGGATATAGTGAAAAGAAGAAAAAGTTATATTTATTTAGTGTTACAGCTCTGATCTTTCTGACCCTTAGGAAGCAGCAGTGTTAGGCTCAGTGAAGCTCCTGATCTGCAGCGATCACACACTGTAGCTAGGGAAGCAGGAGCAGCTAGAGAAAACAAGTGTTTGCTGAGTTAGCCCTCTTCTGAAGGCAGCTGGGCTGGGGGAACGAAGCTGCTAACCTCCTGGGTGTCCAGTACGAGTTCATGGTCTCTGAAATTGAAGAATAGATCTCAGGAACTGTGGAAATTAAGAGCAGAATATATTTATTCAGAGAAAGAAAGCTTCTGTCTGAGAAACAGAAGGGGTCCCAATTGGGTTGCCAAGGACCCTGCAAAATCCCAAGGTTAGGCAGGTCCAAGGTAGGGGGGAAAATGAGAATTTGCAAGGTGGACGTGAAGTGGGACAGAACTGTGGTCAACTAATAATATTAATTGTTCAGGTGAAATTGATTAAATCCAGCAAATGGGGAAGCGAGTCCTGTAGCAAGCAGCAACTCTTCCCCAGGAGTTGGGACAGTGACTCCTGTAGAGTATCTGGTCCTAATGCTCATCCTTAGAAAGTGTGTGGGTGCATTTGATTTATTTTTTGTCTTAAGGTGTAGCCTGCAGCAGAGGTGTCTGTCTCCCCTACATTTGCAAGATAGCTGGCCTTCTGCCCTGGCTCCTTGGAGGGCCCAGCCCTGTGTGACTGCCTAGAATATTTCTCTCTGATTCATCTGGCTGTAACACAGTGAATGGAACGTGGGTTACTGTTCATCTGCTGCTTTGACCCACAGGCAGCCCCAGGGCCGGTGCACCCTCCGTAGATCGCTGGGCAGCTGCACCCCTGGGTGTGGGCAGCCATCACAGGGTCCAGGGCAGTTGACGCATACTGTTTGCTGCTAATACTGTGTAACATAAGAGCACATGCGTCAGACAGGAAGGTCCTCCACCGTCCTTCCTGGGTCACCTGATTTGCTTTGGACATCTGCTGGGGTAGTCAATGGTTGTGGGACCACAGGTGACCCAGCTGTTTCTTCCACAACATGGTGTCTCACGGTTTGTGGTATTGAAATGGGAAATTTTCCAAGTCTTCTGTTGGATCACTTTTGCTGAACCATTTCTTGGTCAATTTCTCTTTCTTCTTACATTTCATTATAAGCAATGAGACAACAGGTTGAACATCAGTCCTTTGCTGTGAACTCAGCTAGACAGCCAGGTTTGTCACTCAGAAGTCCTGCTTTCTACAGAACAGCAGACAGGAATTGGGCGAAGGTCCTGGCCACTGTACACCAAGGTCTGTCCCCGTCCAGGGCCCCAGTGACATGGCTGTTTCCGTCTGAGGCTCCCTCAGAAGTGCCTTGAACTCACATTTGCTCATGAGGGTGTATAGATGCCCAAAACCACAGAAGCATCCTGCAGCTCATTTTGTTTTTTGAGACAGGATTTCTGTAGCCCAGGCTGGCCTCAAACTCAGAACCCTCCTGTCTGGGCCTCCCCAGTGCTGGGGTTACAAGGATTGCACCACATCCCCGTCAGAAGCCCCTTGGCATTGCCGCACTCTCTCCCTCCGAGGTGATGAGGCTTTGTCCCAGGTTCCTCAAGACTCTGGCTTCTCCCCACTGCCCTTTCCAAGCCGCCTGCCCATGCACAGGTCCGCTCCAAGCCACCTGCCCACGCACAGGTCCACGCTGCCTCAGCACCTTGCTGGTGATGCTGGAGAGGGTAGGGAACCCGGAGCTGCCCTCCACCCTGCCTCCGAAGCATCTAGGGACACTCACTCTGCTGCAGTCAGGGGCCTCCGTCTCTCTGGCTGGCTGAGGTGGCAGACTGAAGCCAAGGAGCCCGCTGAGGGCAATTGGGAATGCTTGTGTATCCCTCTGGTTGCTGCCTCGCCTGCTGGGACAAGGACAGCTCTGCTCAGCCCAGCCCAGCCCAGCCTTCCCCAGTGCCATGCCTGCCACCATCCGGCAGCTGCACCTTGGTTGGGCATAAATACTTATAGGCTTTTCTTTTCTGTTACTGGACTAGAATTTCAAAACATCGAGGAGATAAAATCACCACTCTACTGTGGTGACTTTAAAAACATTTTTTCTCCTTTTGCTTTCAGACGAAATCAGTTCCGGTCCCAGGAGAGAGTGAGGCCGGGGCAGCGGCTGGTGTTGCCGAGGTGGAAGGGAGGCTGTCGGTCTTGCTGCAGGAGACGAGGGAGCTACAGGTGGGTGCTCGCCAGGTGACACTGTCCTCGGTGGGGGGGGGGGGGGGGGACAGGAGGTAAGCAGCAGGCAGGAAATCGGCTCATTTCATCTGCCAGATTGTAGGTTTATGAGGAACACAATGGGCTGTCACAGTGTTTCCATTCCTGTTTTGATATTTAAAGATGGCACAGAGAAAGTTTTTATTTTTTAAAATTCTAGTTTTTAGAGGGTCTCTACGTAGTTCGGGATGGCCTTGTACTAAGAGCCATCATCCTGCCCCAGCCTCCCTCAGAAAGTATTACAAATGTGGTGACATTAATAAAAAATAAAAGGTAGGCCAGGAATCCCAATTCAGTGGTACAGTGTCTGGCTGGAAAGTATAAGGTCCGAAGTTCAATTTCTGGTTCCAAAACACAAAAAAAGAGATGAAGAAAAAATAGAAAAAGATGACCCATGGTTGTTTTGGGGTCAGAGTGAGATTGTTGAGAGTTACCCTGTGGAGTGAATCCAGTGCCCTGCACTGTCTGCACTCCCCACGATTTTGTTTCTCATTTTCTCCAGATTTCCAGGCTGGACTCTAATTAGCAATCCTCCTGCCTCAGATCCCAGAGTGTTGCCACCGAGTTCAACTGCAGATTTATTTCATCCTTACACTGTGAATTTTTACTTGAAATCTTCTTTTTCCCCCCACACTGCTGTGGATCAAACCCAGGGCCTCAGACATGCTGGGCGCTCTACCACTGAGCTGTCCTACAGCCCTCAGATTTGTTATCCTTTCCCATTTAATTCTGTGATTATGTGAGGACTTTTTGTTTGTTTGTTTAAACTTGAGCTTTGAGTTCCAATTCTGATGCTAATCAGAATTGGCATTTGTGACATCTGTGGGGATCCACCATGTGCCCTGTGTATGGGCCGAATCTATATTCCTCTGGTAGTCTGTATTCCCAGCCCTTCTTTCCCTCTTGGGCTTTTGTTTGTTTGTTTGGGTTTGTTGTTGTTATTGTTTGAGGAGTAGCTGCTAAAACTAAATTTTGGCTGAGCTCTGCTGTTGACATGGCCACCCTCGAAGAGGGCGCGAGTCTCGTGTCCCAGGGTCCATGCTAGCAGGCCCCACTATGACAAGCACAGCTGTTGGTCATGGAAGAAGAGCTTTGGTTAAGACTTCAGGAAAATGAGTGCTAACTTCGCATACTGACTGTTTTTCCTAGAACGAAATTAAAGTTTTGTCTGCGGAAAGAACTGCCCTTAAGGAGCAGCTGGATTCCTCTAATAGCACCATTGCCATTTTACAAAATGAGAAGGACAAGCTGGAGCTGGAAATCACAGATTCCAAAAAGGAACAGGATGACCTCCTGGTTCTGTTGGCTGACCAAGACCAGAAAATACTGTCACTGAAGAAAAAACTGAAGGACCTTGGTCACCCAGTAAGCTCGAAATGTTTCCAGAAGTAACATGTATTCTGTTTCTTTGTGAAACACTTAACACTGTTTCTGTAGTGTGGAAAAGTTGAGCCTGTATTACAAGCATAGTTAAGTGGGTCTATGAATCTGGAGTCTTGAGGAACTGATTCTAGATAAATTCAGTTCAGTTTCCAGCACTTGTAAACTGCTTTTGGACCTCGGGCCTAAAAAGTGAATTAATTGCACCTGTGATAAACAGGGCTCTCAGCACCCAAGGGACCCATTGTCTGTGCCATATTTGGCTCAGATTTGTGTGTAGAGAGTATAATCACTCGTCAGAAGAGCTGATACGTGTCATTTGCCTTAAAAATGTCAGGAAGCTTTGAGTATTAAGTCAAAGAAATCAGGCGACTTACGCACTGTTTGACAAAAACTGCCAGCCCAAGTCAGCTGTGTCTGCTCCCTGCCTTCCTGAGGAGCTGCGAGAAGGGAGCAGTGCAGGCCGGGGAGGCGAGGACAGGCTAGCAGGGGCTGGTAGTGTTGGTCTCTCTACAGTTTGCAAGGCTGATTTTTTCCCAGCTAGGTCTAATTTTGGGGGAAAGAGAGTAGAACACAGACTTTATCAGCATGCATGCTACATGTGAACATATGTAATGATCTATGTGGGTATGGAAATGAGCAGATTTCTCTAATGTTAAAAACAATCTGTGTTTCCCTTTAGATTGAAGAAGAAGATGAACTTGAGTCTGGAGACCAGGACGAGGAGGATGATGAGAATGAGGATGGTGGCAAAGACCAGGGTCTCAGTATTTAGCTTGAAAGTCTCTAGAGATGGCAGACGTTTGTGCCGTGACTTTGGAGATGGAAACTACAGCCAGTGTTCAGTTTGCCTCCACAGAAAATAAAGATGTATAAACCAGTGGAACGCATTTACTAATAAAACTGTTGATGTATTTTTAAAAATATTGCCACCTTGTTAAAAGCCCTAACAGTAACTTTATACAGAGCACGTTTTATTTAATTTTATCTAAACTATCCCAGAATGTAATTCGTAGAGCCCAAGAGGCCAAACAACTTCATTTCAAGACATGTGGTGCCAGTGGTGTCCTTCTAGGTGCCCTGGTTAGCTCTGAGGCCCTGTGGCGCTTGAGTGCCAGCACTGGTGATTTACCATTCCCAATGCAGTGTCTGCGTTCCCCGGGCGAAGGTTTCCTTGTGAAGGAAGGAGGTGGCTTCAGGCCGGCTGGCCTGGTGGGCGGGGATGGTGCATGCCATCCATCTCCCTCCATCTGTGACATCCACACCAGCAGGGCGACGCTGCGGTTCGGAGCTGTCCCTTGTCTCCTGGGCACCGTAGTGCGAGGTCTGACTGAGGGCTTGTTGCGGTGTGTGCGTGGCTGGTTTTCTTCTTCAGCTAAACATGGAAAACAGATTGTGAGTTCATGATCATCCAGCTCTGATTAGTATTGTTAGATTATCAGAAAACATGTTCTTAGTTTGAAAGAGGCCTAGACTATGATTTATATAATTTATTGGCATTTTTGCTGAATAGGTTTAAGTCAAGTAACAGATTTTTAAAAACCAAATAAAGCAGTGTGTCAAAATTTAATGTTTTCATAATAAAAATAGAGATTACATTCACTTAGTCGTGGTCATGTCTCCCATGTTTTTGTTTTTGTTTTTTTTTTTTTTTTGTGGCTCTTAGTTTAAACCCAGGGCTTTCACACTGAGCTAACTGCCCCACCCTTTTTTGTGCTCTTTATTTTGGTAGTTTTGAGCATTTCCCAAGGTGAACTCAAGCTTACAGTCTTTCTGCCTCAGCCTCCCAGAGTGCTGGAAATACACGTGTGCAGCACCGCACTTGACTTGAGGGTATTGTTAATAAAAAGTGTGCGTGCCCACGGGCACGTTTGTGATTTCTGTCACCTGCCTCTGGCCTACAGCTTTTGAAAGACAAGTGTTTTCCACCGTGGTGGGAAGGCTGGTGCTATTCTGTGCGCCCTGCACTGTCCCAGTGCTGTACCTGCCGGTGCCCTCTGAAGTCACGAGACTTCAGTGCCCGTTTCCAGACCAGCATGGCGAGCCCCGTGTTTCCAGCTGACGTGCGTGGGCGAATGGGTTAGGATTGTGGGAGCATGGTAGATGCAGTTCCTGGAAGGGAAGCATCGCTGTCACTCAGGCCCCCCGGGGGAGACGCGGGAGATTTGGCAGGCACAGCTCGGCCTGGAGTCAGGTGTCCCTCGGGCCCTGCAGGCTTTAGCCTGGGCTGCCCAGAGCTGGTCTATGTGCCATTCCCGGCCACCCCACCTTTCTCCAAGCAGATGTGCGCAGACCCGTGCTTGGCTGCCCCTGGTGCCCAGCGTGAGACCTGCAGCCGGGACTCCTGGATGTGGAAACCAGGCAACAGTGGGAGGTAACTGGTTCAGGCCCAGGAAGACCAGCACGCAGGACGCAACCTTCGCTGGAAGGCTCAGCTACCAGGGTCTTGACCTGGGCTCTCCGCCCCCAGAGCTACGAGAGGCCAGAGCCACTGTGCATCCGCAGCGGTGGGTCTGAAGACGGTTTTGCAGGCAGAGCTGGAGTTCGCCAGAGCTGCACCCAGACGCTGTGTGCTGCTCGCTGCAGGGGACAGGTTTATGTTGCGAGCAGGGCTGGCACCAGAAGCCTCAGTCTTCTTGTCTCCTTCTTATGTTTTCCTGCCTCACGTCCATGATAGGCCACAGGCCATGTATCGGGTGGGACAGCCACTGCCAGGGAAACAAGGCATCTGATACTCGGTGACCAGCATGGGGCAGGCAGTCTGTGAAGGAACAAAGGAAGACAAGTCAGGACAGGGGCTGGGTTAGTGGCCCAGGTCCCCTCTATCTGTGCAGGAGACCTGAGTACCTGCAGTTTGCAAGGCTGTGCTGAGACTCAGGAGCTGGTGCCGGAGGATGCTGTCTACTTGGTGACACTTGCATGGGAGAGAAGAATTGCTTATCACGGACCAGGTGTGTACCTCAAACATCCGAGACTGTTTCTCCCCATTTTCTAATATAGTTTTCTTCTTTATGTGAAATTCATTTTTGGTATTAAAATCTTTTGAATGCCAAATCAGGTAAAATATTCTTCATCTAACCTTTATTTTTTTTTTTAGTACCGGGAATCCAACTGACGACCTCACACTTGCCAGGCAGGCGCTTATGCCACTGAGCTACATCCCCAGCCCCTGTCATCTAACCTTTTTTTTTGGTGATTGTTCTCCTTGTATAAAGCATGAAAAATGCTGGATGTCTGAAGATGAGTGGAGAGTCCTCCGTGTCGTCGGTGTCTCTGCACTGCTGCTGGGTACTCACTGCTCCTGGTTCCAAGGGATCCATCCCCTCCCACACTCCCGCAGTGGCAGCTGCATGCAATCCCACTTTGGTCACTCTGCAGATCGAGGGTACCTGGCACTTGGGTTGGCAGGCAGCAAGGACTCTGTGGTAAACCTCACATCCCTGCGCACATTACTAACTCTGAGAGTTCTTCCTGGAACCTCCATAGCCCTACCCTACAGGGTTGCCTCAAAGACAAACAGTGGAATTTCTAGTGGGGACTGGCAGTCTGCCTAGCTACCAGGCTCTGGGACAAAGGAGCCCTACACCTACATCTCAGTGGCTCCTAACAGCAGGGGTCCTTCCTGGTCACCTTCTTAGCCTGGCTGGCAGCTGTGGCTGTACTGCAAACCTCACTCTAAGGTCAGCGTGAGTGGCCACCTCTACAGGGGCCAGCAGGGCCATGGCAGGGCACCGGAGCCAGGGTCTCTCGGGGGCATCAGAACTGCTTGGATCAGTGTCTCCATTCAAGTCACTGGGCAAAGTCATGGCCAAGGCAACATCCCAGGAAATGATGATGCACAGGCACACTGAGTGCTATGACAGTGCCAAGTCTACCCCAGCGTGGAGGCACACGCTGCCCTGTTGGTGCCCTCCCTCCCGTCCATCTGCTGGATGTGCTGAGCAAGGGGGCTGGGGCGTGCAGGGCCAGCACCTTTTCAGGGAGGGCAGTGTAGAGTCCATGGATATTGCCTGGGTTTGCAGCCTGTCTGCCCTAGACCTTTGAATTTTACCTTGAGACAGGTTCTTACTAAGCTGGATGGGCTGGCCTTGAACTTGCCATCTTCCTGTCTCAGTCTCCTGATGAGCAGGTCTGACCACTGTGTGTCTCCAAACCCAACTCTCCAGATTCTGAGAATTTAAGAATTGACAGGAAAGTGCTTTCTATAAAGATCTGGCTGCTGGGCATTCGGGAGGCAGAGGCAGGAGGATCCCTGAGAGTTTGAGGCCAGCCTGGGCTACAAAGTGAGTTCAAGTTCAGCTTGAGCTACAGAGCGAAACTTAAATAAATAAATAAACCCCCAAAACTCATCAAATGTGAAGACTCCTGTAGACTTTACTGGCTGTGTGTCTTGCTCACCCAGGGTTCAGCAGCAGCAGGACAGTGTTTTAATGGACCTCCCAGTTCCCAGCAACCTCCCACCTGCCTGCTACAGTGGGCACAGGTCCTGGCTGCCATTAATGTGTCCCTCATGACTCTCAGTGTAAAAGCTGACACACCATCCCATGGCAGATTCAGGACACACACTGTGGATCCTGAGATAAAATCAGAAAGATTAGGGGCTCACCTCATCTCCAAAAGAAATGAAAACCGGACTGTCGCCTGTACACCCATATGTCTTTATCCCACATTTTTCTGGGCTGGCATCTGGAGATGGATCAGGGCCCTTGTGAGAATGATGATCGTGTGGGGAGGGTGCTATTTGCTACCGTGAGCAGACTCAGGTGGCTAGTAAGAGTCCAGCCACGGGCAGGCCACTGCCCTGCACTCCTCTCACCCCTAGCACCCCAGGGCCACCCTTGCCTCCTCCTAAGGCCCATCTCCCAGAAGGAAACATAAGAAAAACAAAGACCTTTGGCCTGGAAAATTCTGCAAATGTGGCCACAAGTATTCCAGACCTGCCAGCATAACTCCAGGAACTCCTGGCATGGAGCTCACTCAAGGCTCATGCATACGGACTGCATCTCACGCCCCCATCTGTAACGGAGAGAATCACGGGGAACCCCTAGCACACTACCAGTCACGTCAGTCACACCCCGGAGGACCCTACGCAAGGTGGCCTAGACTCTGCAACACTGTACCCCTTAAACCCAGGGCCTTCAGAGCTTGGGTCTTTTCCTTGCTGCAGGCTTGTGCCTGCTGAGTGTGCCAATGGCTGGTTAGACACCACAGCTGTTTCCTCAGCATTGTGTGAAGCCCAGTTCTTTGATTATCACATACAAGAACTTTGGAACCCATCCAGGACCACATCACCCATGGAACTTGGCCATCATAATCACCATCATAACTGTGAGATTCCTGTCCAGCTTGTATTTTTGTTCTTTAATTTTTTTCCAAATCTATTTTATTTCAAGAATAAAAACAAGAAGAAGAAAGAAAAACTACAACAAAATTTCAAAACATGTCAATCGGGGTAACAATGTACACACTTTGCATATTGTCATCCCAAAATCATTCACCCAGGACACAAAACATCTGCATTCAACTGTCCAAACAACACCAGCACAAATCTTTCTCTTTAGTGAACTCAGAGAAATCGGTAGTATAGCTATCTTAACTATTTTTATTTACATATACATATACATGTACATGTTTTTTCTTTCAGCTTCTCATACTAATGAAACTATGTTTACAAACGTGTGTCTTACTTATTTCACTAATGAGTATGTTCTCAAGTTGCATCCATTTACCTATAAAAGTCTCCAGTATATCTTTTTTATGGCTAAGTAGTACTCCATTATATTTAAAAACCACACCTTTTTTATCCATCCCTCAGTCATGGGCATTTAGGTTGTTTCTATGATCTGGCTATTACAAATTGTGCTGCTATGGGACTGGGGATTTAGCTTAGCGGCATAAGTGTGGTCATGAGTTTGATCCCCAGTACTGATAAAAAAGAAAAAGACAAAAAAAAAAAAAAAAGAAAAAAGAAAAAAACAAATTGTGCTGCTATAAACGTGGGTGCACAGATATCACTGTGCTATGATATTTTTAATACTCAGAAGGGAAATACCTGGGTTGAATGGGACCTCAAGTCCCTAGATTTTTGAGGCTTCTCCACATTGATTTCCACAGTGGTGGTACCAGTCTGCACTCCCACTAAGAGTGGAGCAGGGTTTCTTTTTCCCCACAGCCTCCCCAGCATTTGTTACTGCTTGATTTCTTGATAATAGCCATTCTGTTTGGGGTGAGGTGGAATCTCAGTATTGTTTCAATTTGCTTCTCTCGAATGACCAGTGATGTTGAACATTTTTTCATGTAGTTTATTCACCGTTCATATTTCTTCATCTGAGAAGTTTGTATTCCTGTCAGATGCCCATTTTTGGATTAGGTCTTTAAATCTATGAGAACTAATTTTTTGAGTTCTTTATATGTTTTCAGTAGTAATTATTTATCTGAGCAACAGCTAGCAAACATTTGCTCCCATGTTGTAGGTTGCCTCTTCACTATGTTGGTGGTTTCTGTTGCTGTGCAAAAGCTTTTCAGTAGGGTGAGATCTCATTTGTTGATTCTTTGTGATAGTTCTTGTGCAATCTGGATTTTGTTTATGAAGTCTTTGCCTTCACCAATGTCTTAAAGAGTTTTACCTACTCTGTCTTCCAGCAGACTTAATTTCTGTTTATTTAAAAAGCAAAACAGAAAAAAGGGTAGAAATGATACAGAATTTTAAAAATAACATTAGGGCTGGGGATTTAGCTCAGCAGCATAAGTGCCTGCCTTGCAAGTGTGCGGTCGTGAGTTTGATCCCTGGTAATGATAAAAACGAAAAAGACCAAAAAAATTTTTTAAAAATAACATTAAGAAATCATCTCTAGTTGATATATTACATATTATTGTTATCTTAGAGGTGGTTGTTCAAGTTACAAAATCAAAGCATAAAAATGAAGAGACAATCAAACAATGACAGCACAAACTATTCTGTTTGGTGAACTAAATATCGTTATGTATCTTGCACACTTAAACATACATGCAGTTATCTGTGTACACCTACAAGTTGTTCTTTCCTTCTGAGCACTTTCTTTCCCTTTCATTATTACAATATCTGTTATACATTTTGGATCTTATTACTCTTAAAAATATGGAAGGCTTTATGAATTTGCATGTCATCCTTGCACAGGGGCCATGTTACTCTTCTGTGTATCATTCCAGTTTTAGAGTATGTGCCACCAAAGTGAGCACCATAGTAGCTTTATAGTATAAATTCAGGTCAGGGATTGTGATGCCCCCTGCCTTATCTTTGTTGTCCAGGATTGCCTTTGCTATTCTAGGTCTCTTCTGATTTTAGATGAATGTTACCATTGTTTTCTCTAATTCTGTAAGATATGCTATTGGAATTTTGATTGGAATTGCATTGAATCTGTATAACAGTTTTGGAAGTATGGCCATTTTCACTCTATTGGTTCTTCCTACCCAAGGGCACAGGCTATCTCTCCATTTTCTAATATCCTCTTCAATCTCCTTTTCCAGAGTACTATAGTTTTTAATGTGGAGGTCTTTTGTATCCTTTGTTAGATTAATTCCTAGATATTTCATTTTTTTGGATGCTATTTGTCTTAGTTACTTTTTACTCATCACTGAAACCAAATACCTGAAGCCCAAGGCTGGGAAAGGGAAGGTTTATTTCTTACAGCTTTTTGGAGGTTTCAGTCCACACTCAGTTGGCTCCAAAACAGGCAGGCATGGCTGGGCTGCAGTTCATGGCGGCCGCCAACAGCAAACTCAAACCAGGAAAGAGAAAGACACACCTTCTTCCTGCCATTACATCACATCCTGGTTCCACCCCTATGTGGGTGGAGCACTGACACCATCAATCCAAGCACTATACAATGAACCATCACAAATGAACAATGCAAACTCATGAGGCCTGGGGGACACAAACATAAACCATGACATTCCACCCCTGGCCCCCAGGACTCACGTACATCCTTTATACAAAAGACATTTAGTCCACCTCCAAGAGTTGCCAAAGTCCTAACAGCTTCAACATTGCTGAAAAGTCCAAGTCCCAAGTCTCCTCCAAGATCTATGGCAAACTCTTAACTGTAAGCTCCTGTACAAAAGAAACAAGGTTAAACATTTCTGAAATGCAAAGGCACAAGATAAACATTACCATTCCAAAAGTTACAAACAGGGGGATATAAAGCATTGGAAACAAAGCAAGTCCAACATCCAGCAGGGCAAACATTAAGTCCTAGAGTTCCATGCTCAGCATCTGAAGCAATCTGGTTGCAAGTTCCAAAAGGCTTGGGTGATTCCACCTCTAGGGCACTTCTGGTGATTTCAACTCCCGCAGCTTTTCTCTTAAATCTTCTCTGCTCGCTTTTTGCAGCTTCCCTTGGATCATCCACATTCCTGGCTTTTCCAAACTTCTGGGGTCTCCACTGTACCTTCGGCTTCACCCTTACATCTTCACAAATTGCCCTCCCAGGGGCACACTGCTTGGCCTCACAGGCCCTTTGCATTCGAGGTGGAAGCCTTCTTACCCTCAGAATTCGTGCATTTTCCTTGCACCTAAAATTAGCACCTTGTGGATGCCACCAAGGTTTGCTGCTAGCTGAAGCAGTAGCCAGGCTTTTCTCTCTCTTGGCTGTAGGGGTCAGTTGCCTGGATCGCAGGGCTCTGTTTACCTGATTGTGATGAAAAGCTTCTCTGTGTTGCCGCCATTCTGGAACCTCATGTGGCCTCTGTCGCCATTCTGGAGCTTGGCATTCTGTAGCTTTTTCCTCTGAGCAAAATTTTTTATCTTTGCTGTGAGGCTGCACAGGGTGGGGACCTGCTTCCTAGGATGCCCCGGGGCCATCTTTCTTATCTCTCTGTTTCTCTTCAGGAATCAAAATCTCAACTCTGTCTTTACAATCCACACCCTCCCTGGAATTTTCCTTCTGGCCAAACTCACAGCATTGTAAATTATCCTGCCGGGCTCTTTGCTCTTGATTTGAAACATATAGCTGGCTAAATGCCCCCAACAATAGCCATGCCACAGCCTCAACATTTGGTTGCTTTTTAATTTCTTTTTCAAGATTAATCAGTCCATTGCCCTTTGTCTCAGTCTCAGGCAAAGTCTCTGGACAGGAGCAAAATGCAGACAAACTTTCTGCTAAGCCCTAACACACATCATGTGGAGTCCAACGACCAATGCAGTCCTTCCCAGCAGAAACCTCCCAAGCCTGGTCTTTACCATCAGGCTTTCTATCAGCTTTCGGGTCTCCTGAGCTCTGGCCAGAATTTCTTCTACAGAACAGCCTAAGCTGCTCCAGCTCTATGCATCCAGGTGACATGTCCAAACCTTTCCAAACTCTGCCCACAAGCCATTTCCAAAGCCTCTTGAAAAACATGGCCAGGTATAGTCACAGCAAACGACCCCACTCCTCGGTACCAAATTTCTGTCTTAGTTACTTTTTACTCATCGCTGACACAAAATACCTGAAGCCCAAAGTTGGGAAAGGAAAGGTTTATTTCTTACAGTTTTTGGAGGTTTCAGTTGGCTACTCAGTTGGCTCCAAGACAGGCGGGCATGGCTGGACTGCAGCTCATGGCGGCTGCCAACAGCAAACTCGAACCAGCAAAGAGAAAAACATACCTTCTTCCTGCCATTACATCACATCCTGGTTCCACCCCTATGTGGGTGGAGCACTGACACCATCAATCCAAGCACTATACAATGAGCCATCACAAATGAACAATGTAAACTCATGAGGCCTGGGGGACACAAACAAACCATGACACTATTGTAAAAGGTATTGGTCCCCTAATTTCTCTCTCAGTGAGTTTGTTATTTATGTAGAGGAAGACTATTGATTTTTGAGTGTTGACTCTGTAACCAGCTACATTACTGAGTTTGCTTATTAAATCTAGAAGTCTTTTGGTGGAGTTTTGGGGGTCTTCTAAGTAGAGTATCATGTCATCTGCAAGTAATGATAGTTGAAATTCTTCCTTTCCTATCTTTATTCCTTTTATTTATTTCTCTTGCCTAATTGCTCCACTTGAAGTTTCCAGGTCGTATGTTGAATATGAGTGGAGAAAGAGGAAGTCTTTGTCTTGTTCCTGATTTTAGAATGAAAGATTTCAGTTTTTGTCCATTTAGTATGATGTTGGCTGTTGATTTGTCATAGATGGCTTTTATCGGATTGAGATAAAGATCATCTATTCCAATTTTCTGTAGGGTTTTTATCATGAATGGCTGCTGGACTTTGTTAAAAGCTTTTTCAGAATCTATTGAGATGAACACATGATTTTTGTCTTTGGCTCTGTTAATATGATGTATTGCATTTATGCATTTATGTATGTTGAGCCATCCCTGCATCCCTGGGATGAATCCCGATTGATTATGGTGTACAGACATCTTGTAAGTTGCTCAGTCTGTTTGCTGGTATCTTTTTTAAAAAATTTTATTTAAATAGAAAAAAAAAACAGTAAAAGGGTACAAGTAATACAGAATTTAAAAAAAAACAGTAAGAAATCACTAGTTAATAGATTACATATTGTCATCTTAGAAATAGTTGTTCAAGTTACAAAATTAAAGTATACAAAGTGGACATTCAAACAGTGAGACTGAAAACAGTTGTGTTTGATGATCCAACAAAAAATTAGTAATATGGTCATCTATCTTACACATCTAAACAGATATGCAGTTGTATACTTTAGAGCACTTTCTTTTCCTCTCTTTTTTACAATAGCAGTTATACATTTTGGGTTTTATTACTCCCATAGTTCTTATTATTTTTTTAGAAGAGAATAAAACCAAATGTGACAAAACAAAACAGTCAAAACAAAGGATGGACATAGTACATGATGTAAAAACAGAATAAAAGGTGATCAACAATGGTTACCATAATGTCTCTTGCTACCTTAAAAAGAATTGCCTATATCACCAGGTATAATAAAATTGAACACAACAGTACAGAACAAAACAAATAAAACCAAAACATTGGAGACATTACAGGACTTCAAAAGAAGACAATAGTCAAACCAGAATGGGCATCATAGTGAATCTTAATTGCCTTCAAAGTAGTTGCCTATACCCTCAAACTTGATTCTATCAAACAGAACAGAATAGAGTAAAATCAGTCAAAACAAGATGGTAAGAGCAATACAGGGCTTCAAATCAAGTTAATAGGAAATCAAAAAAGTTACTGTAATATATCCTGCTAATTTTTAAATTTATTTTTCCCGTAATTAAAAAATAGTAAAAAAAATAAAATTTAAAAAAAGGGGGAGATTGAGATAAAAGAGGACATAACAACATAACAACACAGGTCAGAACAGAACAATTTAAGCAACATAGTATTTCATCATAAGATAACCTGACATAATAGTAGTTACCATACTGTCTCTTTCCTTGAAATGTTTTAGTATAACTTCATATATTATAGCATTAAATATATCAAGACAGTGTGAAACTATTCAAGAGGATGAAAGTATTACAGGGTACTTAGAACCAGATAACAGAAAATGAACAATGGTTTCTATATTATGTCTTTGCCTATAAAAATTTTGTTTATACTATCACATATAATGAAATCCAATAAGATACAACATGATAAAACCAATGGAGACATTTTGATGGGTCTTCAAAACAAGGTGATATTAAATCAGCACTAGCTATTATGATGTCTTGTTTTCTTCAAAATAGCTGTTCATACCATCACAGACAATAAAACAACCCAGAATAAAATCATTCCAATTAATGAGTAGAAACATTATAAGGCTTCAAAGCAATATCATGGGGGAATCATGATTACCACATACTTTTATGTATTCATATTTCTTATATTAGGGAAACTACTCGGTATTCATGCATGTGAGTTTGATTTATTTCACTTATGAATATGGCCTCAAGCGGAGCCAATTTATTTATAAATATCTCAATGTGACCCTTCTTTATAGCTGAGTAGTACTCCATTGTATAAAAACACCACAACTTTTTTTATCCATTTCTCAGTTGACAGACACTTAAGTTGTTTCCAAGATCTGGCTATTACAAATTGTGCTGCTATAAACATGGGTGCGCATATATCACTGTGGTATGATACTTTCAGTTCTTCTGGGAATACGCCTAGAAGTAGAATAGCTGTTTGCTGGTATCTTACTGAGGATTTTTGCATCAATGTTTTTTAGGTAAATTGGCCTATAATTCTCTTTCTTAGTTGGGTCTTTCTCTGGTTTTGGTATCCAGGTAA